ACTCAGCGAGAGCCTGTCTCTCAATAAAATAGAAAAAGGGCTGGGGACGGGGCTCAGGGGTGAAGCGCCCCTGGGTTCCATCCCTGGTACCAAAAAATTAAACATGGTGGGCAGGACGTGTGTGACCCACCGTGCTCAGGGCCTGTCCCCGCTACCGTAGGACGAGATGCTGGCCCGCTTCGTGGTGGGCAGCCACGTGCGTCACCACCCCAGCAACAAGGAGGACGGGGGGCTGGTCAACGGCAGCACCCTGGAGCCCGCCATGCCCAACACGTACGGCGTGGAGCCGCTGCCCCAGGAGGTACTCAAGAAGTACATCATCTACGCCAAGGAGAAGGTGCACCCCAAGCTCAACCAGATGGACCAGGACAAGGTGGCCAAGATGTACAGCGACCTGAGGAAGGAGTCCATGGTGAGCGCTTGGGCCGCCGCTGTGTGCACACTCGGGAGGCTGAGGCAGGAGGATCGCAAGTTGGAGGCCGGCCTCAGCCACTCAGCAAGACCCCGTCTCTAAATAAAAAATAAAAGGGCTGGGGATGGGGCTCAGGGGTGGCAGCACCCTGGGGTCCGTCCCCCCGGGTGCCCAACGTTAGCACCAAGCGGGAGGCACAGCAGCCCCTAGAGTGGACCGGTTTTTCGGTTGGAAGAGGCCCTGAGCTCACTCGTCAGCCCCTTCCGCCCTCGCTGAGCCTGCCCTGTCCCCCCCGCAGGCCACGGGCAGCATCCCCATCACCGTGCGGCACATCGAGTCCATGATCCGCATGGCCGAGGCCCACGCGCGCATCCACCTGCGGAACTACGTGATCGAGGATGACGTCAATATGGCCATCCGCGTGATGCTGGAGAGCTTCATCGACACGCAGAAGTTCAGCGTCATGCGCAGCATGAGGAAGGTGGGCACCGTCCCAGCCGGGGGACCCCCTGTGCAGCATGGCCGGGAGGGCCAGCTCTGGGAAGCAGGCCTAGGGGGCTCTGGTCTGCCTCCCACATGCTTAGGAGGCTGAGGCAGGAGGATCCCAAGGTGGAGGCCGGCCTCTACAATTTAGTGAGACCCTAAGAAACTGTCTCCGTAATTTAGCGAGACCCTAAGAAACTGAGCAAGACTGGTGGGGTGGGTGTCCCACCTGGGTGTGGCCCTGCCCCTCACCTGGCTGTTGGGAGCCTGGGGGGGGGGGGACGGAGCCACCAGAAATGGTCCCCCTGGGTGGTGTCTGACCTGTCCTTCCTCCTGCAGACCTTTGCCCGCTATCTTTCCTTCCGGCGCGACAACAACGAGCTGCTGCTCTTCATATTGAAGCAGTTGGTGGCAGAGCAGGTGACGTATCAGCGTAACCGCTTTGGAGCCCAGCAGGACACGATCGAAGTGCCCGAGAAGGACTTGGTGGACAAGGTACGGGCTCCCATGGGAGGTTGGGGCCGGGGCTTGGCTCCCTGGGGAGCCTGTCCGTCATCCTCGGGGGCTTGGCGGAGGGGCCTCGAGTGCCAGCCAGAAGTTGGCGGAGGCTGGCCTCCAACTCACGATCCTCCTGCCTCGGCCTCCCGAGCTGCGAGGATTCTAGACATCGCCTCCTCCGGGGTCCCCTAAGTCCACTGACTCGCACACTTGGCCTTTGTCCCCCCGTTAGGCTCGGCAGATCAACATCCACAACCTCTCTGCCTTCTACGACAGTGAGCTTTTCAGGATGAACAAGTTCAGCCTCGACGTGAAGCGGAAATTGATCTTGCAGCAATTCTGAGGTCACCCGGGGGCCACCCGGAGGGGACTCCCCGATGACACCGTATTCGGGGGAAATCAGACCCAGCGTTCAGTCACTTTGTGCTTTGTGGACGTGAAACCCAAACTCCTGGGAGACTCAGGGGGTTAGGGTTACGGTTGGCAGAGGGATGTCTAGTGTCACCGGTAGTATTTATTTTTCTGGCCTCACTTTTTTGCTTCAGGAACACTTTTCGGGGGGTGGGGGGTACCAGGGATTGAAGTCGGGGAGCCCTCGACCACTCAGTGACATCCCCAACCCTGTTTGGTACTTTATTTAGAGGTGGTCACAGTTGCTTGGTGTCTTGCTGAGGCTGGCCTCCACCTTGAGATCCTCCTGTGTCAGCCTCCCAAGTCGCTGAGATACTGGGCATGCGCCACGGCACCTGTCAGACCTTTCAAGTGGACGCTTTTGACTGCTTAGGTTCCTACCCGTGGTACCTCCTGTCTGCAGATGTTGTTCTGGATTTCTGTCCTGTTGTAGAAGGACTCACAGCTCCTACTTGAGTGCTTGTGATTCCTGTGATAGTGTGGCTTCGGTCCCCCGACTGGGGGACGTAAGGAATCTACCACGGGGCACGTGGATTATTCACCACTTTTACTCCTATATTAATTAATAGGATTCTCGTCCCGGGTTATTTCTTGCTTTGTACATAGTTTTTTCTTTCTGTAGTTCAGATTTTTAATAAAGTTGAATAAAATCAAAACCTTGGTATCTATTGGCCTCAATTCTTTTATTTGTTTCTTCTTTTTTTGGTCCCAGGGATAGAACCCAGAGGAGCTCAACCCTGGAGCCCTGTCCCCAGCCCTTTTTATATTTTATTTAGAGACAGGGTCTCGCTGAGTTGCTGAGGCTGGCCTCCACCTTGTGATCCTCCTGCCTCAGCCTCCCAAGCCACTGGGATGACAGGCGTGCGCCTGGCCGTATTTCACGGTTCCTTATGAGCAGTGTTCTCCTTTATGAATTTCTCAATACACTTAAATTTAAATTGTGATATGCTCTTTAACCCTAGGGTTATTTAGAAACATGCATTTCGGATCATGATTTCCTCTATCAATTCAATCTCTTTTGCTTTTTATTTTTCAAGCAATTACCATTTCAGATCCACAGGCTAATCTGGCTGTACTGTTTTGGGGGTGTGTGTTTTCCTGTCATTCCCAGGAACTGGAGAGGAGGGTGGAGATTCCTCAGAAAACTGGGAATGGAACCACCATGGGACCCAGCCATCCCACTCCTCAGTTTATACCCAAAGGACTTAAAATCAGCACAGGACAGGGACACAGCCACATTAATGTTTATAGCAGCTCAGTTCACAATAGCTATAAACTGTGGAGCCAACCTAGGTGCCCTTCAACAGGTGGATGGATAAAGAAACTGTGGTCCATATACACAGTGGAATATTACTCAGCCTTAAAAAAGAATGAAATAGTGGCATTTGCTGGTGAATGGATGGAGCTGGAGACAATCATGCTGAGTGGAATAAGCCAGTCCCCCAAAAACAGGCTGAGTGTCCTCTCTGATAAGGGGACCCTGACTCACAACAAGGGGGGGAATAGCAGTTCACTGGATGAGACGCAGGGGAGGGAAGGGAAGGGAGGGGAGGGGACCGGGAGAGACAGGGGAATGAATGGACGTCACTTTCCCATGTTCACAGAGGAACCCACGACCAGGGACACCCCACAGCAGGTCCAGCCACAGGAATGGAAGATCACCCCCTTTTTTTTTTGTACCAGGGATTGAACCCAGGGGTGCTTAACCACCGAGCCCCATCCCCAGCCCTTCTCCTTTTGTATTTTGAGACAGGGTCTCGCTGAGTTACTTAGGGCTCTGCTAAGTTGCTGAGGCTGGCCTCCACCTTGTGATCCTCCCGCCTCAGCCTCCTGAGCCACTGGGACGACGCAGCATCACGCCCGGCTGAAAACATGAATTGCTTCTGGGTCACGTCCAAACTTGTCATGCTGACATTGGAGATCCTGTACCATCTGATCTTCGCCTACCTGCCTAGTCTCCACCAAATCATCTGGGCCACGGAGTTTGAAGTCGACCCCAGGGTAAATGAAGCCACAGAGTTCTATGAATTAAATCAAAGAATGTCTTCTTTACTGTGTGAATTCTCATTTTACGGTCTCTGTTTTCATCTTGCCATCCATAGCCACTTTTTCCTAGCTCAATTGTGGAACCAACCTAGATGCCCTTCAACAGGTGGATGGATAAAGAAAATGTAGTCCATATACACAGTGGAATATCACTCAGCCATCAAGAAGAATGAAATGATGGCATTTGCTGATAAATGGATGGAGCTGGAGAAGGGTCTACTTACTCGGTCCAGAATAACCAAGAATGTCGCTTCTCTTTCCCTTCTGTCCCTTCCGCCTCCTGATACTCACAACACAGGTGTCCTCCACTGTCATGTGAAGCCACTTTATGCTCACGTCCCTTCCTTTGAGTGAAACCCACTCTCCTCTATACCTCTGCTCCTGAAAATCCTATTTCTCCTAAGGATTTATCCTGCAAGACTCGTGTGAGATCATCTCCCATGACACACACCGTGGGGAGGGCTGAGGACACATTTCACAAGCCCATTTGACACAAGATGGCGCACGCCTGTCATCCCAGCGACTCAGGAGGCCGAGACAGGAGGATTGCAAGTTGGAGGCCAGCCTCAGCCACTCAGCAAGGCCCTGAGCAACTCAGGGAGACCCTGTCTCTCAATAAAATCTAAAAAGGGGCTGGGGACGGGGCTCAGAGGGGGAGCACCCCTGGGTTCCATTCCTGGTACCCCCCACCCCCCCAAAAAAAAAGAAGCAAACTGGACCTCTGGGCTCCAAGTCTGGTCCTTGGCTGTGGCCTTGGCCCAGAGTCCTCCCAATCCAAGAGCCCGGGATGGGTGGTCACCTGCACATTGTCATCAGTGCCAGCTTCTCTTTAGTGCTGATCGGACCCCCCGAGGTCCCCCTGCGCAGAGCAGCCAGCGCAGCTGCCAGGCGAGGTGCGAGGCCCGGGGTCCAGGCGGCTCGGCCCCGCCCCCCGAAGCCTCCTCGGGCGCTGATTGGCCGCTCCGACGCGGGGGCGCTGCGGAGGGGGGGGGCGGCCGCCCGCGCGCCCACCTCGTCTCGGCGGGGGCGCGCCCGCGGCACGCGGCTGGGCGGGGCCAGGCGTGAGTGACAGCCGCGCGGGCCAATGAGGAGAGCGCGCGCCGCCGCCGCCGCCAGCGCGGTTCCCTGACGCGGGCCCGGGCGCCGCGCCGCTGCGGCTGCGGGCGGCGACGGCTGCACCATGGGCCGGCTGCTGCGGGCCGCCCGGCTGCCGCCGCTGCTGCTGCCGCCGCTGCTGCTGCTGCTCCTGGCCGCGGGTGAGCGCGGGCGCCGGCGGGCGGGCGGGCGGGCGGCGGGGCGGGACGGCGACGCGGGCCGCCAACAAAGGCGCCGCGCGGGCGGCGGGGCCGAGGCCGCGCGTGTCCCCCCGGGCCGCCCGCCCGGCGCCGGGGACAGGGCGTGGGCGGCCACGGCGACACCCCTCCCCCCGGAGCGCGGCGGCTGCGGTGGCCGGCGCGGGGTGGGCGTGCGGTGACACGCGCCGGTGTCCCCGGGTCCCCGCCCCTCCGGCGACAGTGGCGCGGGCCGGGCGGGCGGTGGCCGGGCCGCGGGAACCTGGGCCACCCCCCCTCCCCGCGGCGCTCCGAGCGCCGCCCGCCCGGCAGGTGACAGGTGCGCGTGTCGCGGCCGAGGGGCGTGTGTGCGCGTGCACGGGCGGCGGGAGCGCGCGGCGACACTCGCGAGGGTCCCCGGGGCGGGCGGGGCGGGGGGCGGCAGGCCCCGCGAGCGCCGTCCTCCGTGGGCTGACTGCCCACGGGCAGGGGGTGACAGTGACATGGCCACGGCGGGGGTCCCCATCCACAGCCTCCCAGGGCGCGACGGGGTGGGCGGGTGACAGCGGGGCGGGGCGCGGATGCGCGGTGTGAGGAAGGGACGCCCGGGCGCCGGCAGCTGGCGGGGCCGGCGGTTCAGCAAGGGACAGGAGCCGGTCCGCAGAGCTGGGTCACATCAGGACGTGGCTGAAAGGCCACGTGGTCAGCCCCAGAGCGGGGGACCTTGCTCTGCGGCCAGGCGAAGGTACTGGCAGGGGGTGTGCACGGTGGCAGGGCCCCTCCGATGGCCCCACGAGCCTTCCTTCCAGTGGGCACTGCTGCCTGTGACCCCAGCGGCTCTGGAGGCCGAGGCAGGAGGATCGCCAGGTGGAGGCCAGCCTCAGCCCCCTTAGCGAGGCCCTGAGCCACTCAGCGAGACCCTGTCTCTAAATAAAGTAGAAAAAAGGGCTGGGGACGGGGCTCAGGGGTCAGGTGCCTCTGGGCTCAGTCCTTGGGACCAAAAGAAAAGCCTGTCCCCTCCTTCCCTGTCGCATGCTCCCTGTCGCATGCTCCCCTGTCCTCCGGGCTTCACAGGCACCGTGGTGGGTCCTGCAGGCAGCCGTGGAGGTGTGCGAGCGAGGCTGGGTGATAGTACCCGACCGTCTCTGTTGTGGCTGACGCCAGGCTGTGGGGGCTGCGTGACAGATGCCGCCGGGCACCTCCCAGGCTGGCGCGTGCCCAGGCCTCGGGAGGATCTGGATTTCAAAGCTGCCAATCACGGGGAGATGGGCGTGTCCCTGAAGGTGGAAGTCCCACAGGACCCGGCTGCAAGGTTGCAGGCACCGAGGTGGACAGGGGAGCCCCACTGTGCAGCCTGGGCCCTGGTGTGTGGGTGTCTTTGTATTTTCAGCCTCTAATTCGTCAGCCTCTCTTATGGGCCTCTTTTTTTCTTCTGAGTTTGGGTTAGTACCCCCATTCTCCACCCCTGTCTTCTTTCTTCTCTCACCTTCTGTCCCGGGAATGATGAAGTGACACATCGTAGGTGCTAGAGGGAAAAACTAATCAGTCACGCAAAGAGGGTGATTCCACAATTTTAAGTCAGGTGCAATCTCAACTAAAGCAGATATTATTATGACTATTGTTATTATTATTATTATTTTAGTACCAGGGATTGAACCCAGGGAGTGCTTAACCCCTGAGCCCTGTCCCCTGTCCCCAGCCCTTTTTATGTTTTATTTAGAGACAGGGTCTCCCTGAGCTGCTTAGGGTCTTGCTAAGTAGCTGAGGCTAGCCTCCAATTTGCAATCCTCCTGCCTTAGCCTCCCGACTAAGTTGTGAGGATTATAGGTGTGTGCCATTGTACCCAACAAGGCAGATTAATTATTAGGCACAAAATGAACAGCAGAATGGTGTTCTCTGCCGCTATTTTGGTGTCATCTCATGGTAGGCGAGTTTGAAAAGGAGGATCCTCTAGTAATTACCTAAATAATTAGGGATTGCCAACGCTTTTGAAAATATCAAGGTCTATATAAAGACCAAACAATCATTGTAAGGAAAAATAAGTTCAAGAAAATGAAACTGGGCTGGGGTTATGGCTCAGCAGTAGAGCGCTCGCCTGGCATGTGCAAGGCCCTGGGTTTGATCCTCAGCATCACACAAAAATAAATATATAAAATAAAGGTATTGTGTCCAACTACAACTAAAAAACAATAATAAAAAAATGGAACTGTTTACTGAAAAAGGGATGAAAGACCAGGAGAATACCAGGTTCCTTTTTTCAACAGGATTTCACAGTGCCACCTGGGTGTGGTGTCACATATCTGCAATCCCCGTGACTCGGGAGGCTGAGGCAGGAGGATCGCAAGTTGGAGGCCAGCCTCAGCCACTTAGCAAGACCCTGTCTCAAAATAAAAAAAAATAGGGCTGGGGATGAAGCTCAGTGGTCGAGTACACCTGGGTTCAATTGCCAATACTGCAAAAAAAAATAAATAATAATAATTTAAAAAATAAAAAATAAATAATAATATTAATAATTCCTATCAGACCATCAGGAGAGGAACTTGGGGCTTGACTGGCCGAAAGAGGGTCAGAGAATGGAGGCTCTCACCTGAGTGGTGGTAGACAGGGTTCCTCTGCTCAGGACAGGAGGAGTTTGGGGGAGTTGTAGGTGCTTCTGCGGAGCCAGACCACAGCCTAAATGGGATCGGCGTCCTCCCCACCACACTTCATTGAGATGTGACAGAGACAACTTGGAGATTTCAGGAGGCCACTCATATCCCAACCTTCCGTGGTTTATTAATATTTTAAATTAAAATTTGGGAGGTACTGGGGATTGAACTGGGGGATCCTTGACCCCTGAGCCCCGTCCCCAGCCCTATTTTGCATTTTATTTAGAGACAGGGTCTCCCTGAATTGCTCAGGGTCTCGCTAAGTGGCTGAGGCTGGCCTCCAATTGTGATCCTCCTGCCTCGGCCTCCCTCGTTGCTGGGGATGACAGGTGTGAGCCACTGAACCTGAACTCAGAGGTTGTTTTAGCGGGTGAATTCCAGGATGCTTGAGAAGAATAAGTTGGGGTTGGGGCTGGGGCTCAGGGGTAGAGCGCTCGCCTAGCAGGTGGGAGGCCCTGGGTTTGATCCTCAGCACCACATGAAGATAAATAAAGGTATTGTGTCCATCCACAAGTAAACAATATTTGGAAAAAAAAACATTTAAAAAAGAAGAAGTTACCTTTTATTTAAACAAGGCTGAAGTGAGCTTTTCTGACATGCATGCTAAAGCTGGAGTGCGTAGCTAAAGATGAACTGCAGCCTCTCCACCTTTGGTCGCTCAGGTCCACCGGGAACATGCAAAATGTGCATTGATTAATCATCACCACCATTTCTCATTAAATGACTTTTTTTTTTATTCCCCCAATGCACTAATGAGATTTTCCTGATCTGTCTCTTGTAGTTTCGTTCCTTGCCATCCATGTTACTCAACCCTGGAGATGCATCCCCTGCAAAAGAGGGTTATTATCATAGCTGGTGGCTTCTGACCCACCCTGTCATCCCAGCAGCTCCGGAGGCTGAGGCAGGAGGATCGTGAGTTGGAGGCCAGTCTCAGCAAAAGCGAGGCTCAAGCCACTCAGGGAGACCCTGTCTCTCAATAAAATACAAAATAGGGCTGGGGACGGGGCTCAGGGGTCAAGGGCCCCTGGATTCAATCCCCGATACCAAAAACAAAAAATCTGGTAATTTAACTGAGGACAGAGATGGTCGTCATCTTTTGTCTCCTGAGAGGGCCTCGAACACTGCTTGGCCCGGAATCATAGACGCTCAGAATGACAGGTGGCTCTGTGTAACTGACTGTCTAACACAAATTGGCTGGCCTCCAACTTGTGATCCTCCAGCCTCAGCCTCCCCAACTTGCGATCCTCCGGCCTCAGCCTCCCCAACTTGTGATCCTCTGGCCTCAGCCTCCTGAGCCTCCAGAATTACAGGCGAGTGCCACCAGGCCCAGCTCCTGTAAGACATTTTTGTGGGGAAGACGTGCTAATAACGGGTCTCCTGCTCGCTCGCCATTTGACCTGGACCCCAGGAGGCCTCAGTGGTTTCGACTGTGAACCCAGAAGGTTGGGTCTGGTCCTTATCTCTGGACCCAGCCCTGTCCTGTGCCAGGAACTGTGGCAGGCCCTGGAACTCCAAGTGCCAAGGGACACCTGGAGGACAGGCTCCCCTTGAACAGGGGATGTCACTTGATGGTCCCTTAGAATGTGGTGAGTCAGGTGTAGCCACAGGACCTTGTTCAGGGTGGTGTGTGGACAGAGGCGGGCCACCCACCCAGGGGAGCCTCCAGCGAAGGCTGCTCAGGCGCTGAGGCTGCAGGCAGGAGGCCGGGTTCCACAGGAGAAAGGTGGCGGGCAGCGTGTCCCAAGACCCAGGAGGCTCACAGACTGTGGGGTCCTGGAAATCGCTAGAAGCTCGGCTCATCTGCAGCTCAGAGGGGGGCTGCGGAGAGCGGAGGGAGGGAGGGAGACCCTGTGTGAGGAGTCCCTGCCACTTTAAAGCGTCTGGCCTGCGTTGTCGTGGTGACGGGTCGCTGAGCCTCATTTGCATTTTAGATTTCTCTGAGCTTTGTTACTCAAAGTGGGGTCTGGGGACAGGCGAGGCCCAAGGCCTGCAGACTCCATCCACAGCCCAGAGCCCGAGCCCAGAGCCCAGAGCGGCAGGTGATTCATACACACCACCAAAGCCGAGGGTGGTTGGAAGAGACGTGAGTTTTTTGGGAGGTGCTAAAAGAACTGTAGAGGCCAGGAGGCCTAAAATGTGTCCAAAGCCTCTCCTCCTCCTCCTCTTCCTTCTTCCTCTTTTCCTACCAGGGGCCCTTGACCCTGGAGCCCCGTCCCCAGCCCTGTTTTCTATTTTATTTAGACAGAGGGTCTCACTGAGTTGCTCAGGGCCTCGGTTTGGTTGAGGCTGGCCTCCAACTCGCGATCCTCCTGCCTCAGCCTCCCAAGCTGCTGGGATGACAGCGTGCGCCACTGCGCCCCGCTGCCGTGATCCTCTTCACGGCTTGGCTTTTGCGTTCAGGTGGGGCAAACCTGGAGGATGCCCCTCTGAGCTCAAGAGACCATCATCAAACATCCACTAGTTGCCTTTGAACTCGCTCCATCCCTAGTGTCCAGGGCACGTCAGCACCTGCTGCCGACCCTGTTGCTGTGAGGTCTCTGTCAGTGGACGGGTGGGTGCGTGGATGGGTGGGGGACAGATAGGTGGGTGGGTGGATGACAGAAGGCAATCAGCACTCAGGCCCCACTCGGATCTGCAAGGAGAACTCCGTTATGATTCTCTGGGTGTATCCGTCAGCTAGTTCTGCGTAACAAATCACCCCCAAGTTTAGTGGCTCAGCGCAGCTGTTCCCTAGGTGTGACCCCTGGGCCACGGGCATCAGCGGGGAACTTGCTAGAGAATGAAGGCTCCTGGGCCTCCTCGCAGAGCACCTGGACTCCGGCTCCGGGGTGGGGTCTCGCCCTCCTGTTTAACAAGCCCCCCAGGTGCCCCCGTGCCCTGCGGTTCCCAAGGCCCCGGTGTGGGACAGCACCTGTGTCCACCCTCGCGTCTGCAGGAGGGCGGTGCAGGTGGCCCTCGGCCAGGGCTTCTTGGGCTTTGGGGACCCCTTCCAGTTTGAGTTGGGCAGTGGCTCGTCCTTAGTTGGGACACTGGGACCAGTGGCCATCTTTTCTGTGGGAGGTCACTCTGCAGCGCCAGCCCCGCTAGCCCGGCCCAAAGCCCTGGGACCATGGAGTGTCACAGAGCCCTCTGAGTCTGCCCATGGAGACGGCACCAGGGGCTCAGAGAGGCCGCAGGTCACCTTCAAGGGTGGGGAGTGGGGCTTCAGGTCGGGCTGCGGAGCCGTGTCCCCAGAGGTCATTGGGGGCCAGGACTGGGCACTGTGTCTACCCAGGAATGGGGGACTCTGATAAGGCAGGTTTTGTGGCGGCAGGTGACACCCTGTCCCTCTCCCGTCTGCCGGTTGGGGGTTGGACATCGCTCCCCTGGTCTTTCCAGGGCTGGGGAGCCCCGCGATGGCGGAGGGGGTCGGAGGGGAAGGTCCTGAGAGGCCTGGGTAGAAAGGATCCGAGGGCCAAAGACCACGTGCGTCAGGCTGCTCCGTCCTCACGCCACCAAAAGCCCTGGCCAGACCCACTGCGGGGAGGAGAGCTTACTTGGAGTCTGGTTTTAGAGGTTCAGTTTGTGGTCGGCGGACTCCACAGCCCTGGGCCTCAGGTGACGCAGGACAGCGTGGCAGAAGGGGGTGGAGGGGGACAGCAGCTCAGGACATGGCCACCAGGAGGTGAAGAGAGCCCTGCTCCCCAGGGAGAAAACATAGACCTCAGAGGCGCGTTCCTGGTGGCCTCCTTCCCCAGCCTCGCCCCCGCCTGGCCTCCTTCCCCAGCCTCCCCCCAGCCTGCAGCTGTTCCTGGCTCATCCCCAGGTGAACCCACTGACTCGGCCCCACCTCTGGTCATGGAATCCAGTCACCTCTCAGCCTTCCTGCACCATCTCACACATGGGCCACCGGGGACACCTCCCGTCTCAGCCACAGTGCCACCCATTCCTGGGGACAGAGAACTCTCCAAGGAAGGTGGACCCACATCGGTGGCCGTAGCTCTGGGGCTCTGAGGACCTCGGCTCTAGGAACCACCCCACCCAGGCGCCTGGCTCTGCATCTGAGTCCCTGGTGTGGACGCGGGGTCCGGGGCTTGGAGCCAAGTCCACCTGGAAGTGGCACCTTAGACCTTGACCGTGGTGTCCCCGAGCACAGGAGTCTTCTGGGAGGTGACTCCTGGCTCCCCTGTGGGCAGGTCTCCCAGCCAGGGCTCCTCAGGGAACAGCCACAGAGCAGGCGCTGGGGGAGCAAGGTCACTGCCTCCCCAAATCCCAGCCTCGCCCCAGGGCCTCCCTGAAGCTGTGACTTGGCCTCCTGGAGCTCAAGGCCCGTGGATGACGATGACGATGATGATAATTTGGTTCCAGGGTTGGAACCAGGGGCCCTTAACCCCTGAGCCCCGTCCCCAGCCCTTTTTATTATTCACTTAGAGACAGGGTCTCACTGAGGTGCTTAGGGCCTCACTAAATTGCTGAGGCTGGCCTCCACCTTGCGATCCTCCTGCCTCAGCCTCCTGAGCCACCAGGATGACAGGTGTGCACCACTGCATGTGGCCTCTGTCCCACATTTCTACCTGTCACCCCGGTGCTTGCTCTGAAGCCACGTGGACTCTCAGGGACCTTCTTTACTCAGTCAACCTGTCATGTTCTGTCTTGGAAACACTGCTCCTGACTCCTCCCCTGGCGCCTCCTCCCACCGCGGGGCCAGGCGCTGCCCTTGTGGGGGGGGGGGTCCTTCTTGGTGCTGCGACCGGTCTTCAGGGTGCAGAGACCCCTCACACCCCCGGGGCTCCCTAGTTTCTGGTAGAACAGTCTGAATGGTCCTGTTTCTTTCGGGGCCAGTCACGGTCTCAGGATCTACCACCCCATAAGGTGGCTGTGGAGGTCAAAATTCAGACACTGTTTGCAAAGCATTTAGCACATGACACCAATAATATCAGATTTTTTTTCTTGTACTGAGGATTGAACCCAGAGGCACTTTACCACTGAGCCATATCCCCGACCTTTTATTATTATTATTTTGAGACAGGGTCTTGTGAGTGGCTGAGGCTGGCCTCCAACTTGCGATTCTCCTGCCTCAGCCTCCGGATCAGCTGGGTGTAACAGGCATGTGCCACCATGCCTAGCCCAGAGGGGGCCAAGTCAATTGAGTCCTCTGTCCCCTACCATCTCCCTCTCTCTCCCCTTAGCCACTGTCACATGGAGGTCTGAGCAGTTGGTCCTCTTTTGAAATGAAGATGGCATCTTGGAATCCTCAGGCAGCCCTTGGGTATTCAGAGATGTCATCGAAATCCCCGGCCTCTGGCATCTTCTTGGTGACAGGTGATGGTTAGAGACAAAATCTAATCCCAGTGGCCTGGGAGGCTGAGGCAGGAGGATCGCGAGTGGAGGCCAGCCTCAGCACCTTAGCGAGGCCCTGAGCAACTCAGTGAGATCCTGACTTTAAATAAAAAATAAAAAGGGCTGCGCGGTGGCTGAGGGGTCAAGCGCCCCAGGGCCGCCCTTGGCCTCTGCTAACGTCCGGCCTTTGTGTCCGCACAGGAGTGTCCCTGGGTTCCCGTGCAGCCGGAACCGATGAGCCTGGCCCCGAGGGCCTCACGTCCACCTCTCTGCTGGACCTGCTGCTGCCCACCGGCCTGGAGCCGCTGGACGGGGAGGAGCCCAGTGAGTCCATGGGCCTGGGGGCCGCCGGCTCGGGCTTCCCCAGCGACGAGAGCGAGGAGTCGCGGATCCTGCAGCCGCCTCAGTACTTCTGGGAGGAGGAGGAGCTCAACGCCTCCAGCCTCGACCTGGGGCCCACCGCAGGTAGCGCTCCCCGCCCTGCCAGCATCCCCTGTGACCCCCACGAGGGTCACCACACTGCCGTCCGCGGACACCAAAGCCAAGTCCCCGGGACTCTGTGTTTCTTTAATTCTAACCACTCTTTATTTAGTGAGGCCCTATTCTGTGTTCCCCACTTTTTTTTCTGGTGCCAGGGATTGAACCCAGGGGTGCTTAACCCCTGACCCCCATCCCCAGCCCTATTTTGGATTTTATTGAGAGACAGGGTCTCTCTGAGTGGCTCAGGGCCTGGCTAACTTGCTGAGGCTGGCTTCCACCTGGCGATCCTCCTGCCTCAGCCTCCCGGGATGCTGGGATGACAGGCCTGCACCACTGCGCCCGGCCAACTACTTTCATTTGCATCATGGGTAATATTTGACACACTTATCTTTTAAACTTGACAGTGTCTTTCTTTCTAGATGTTTCTAAACATTTTTGCCTGTTTTTCTTTGCTTTATGACTAGCCTTTGCGTCACTGAAATATGCACTCCTGCCTTCCTTCCTTCTCTAATCCACCGTAATTGATTATGGCGCATGGTGTAAGGTGGGGTCTCATCGCCCTCTCCCACTGAGACCTGTCGCCACGTGGACCCCGTGTGGAAGGACTATAAAGCAGTTTCCCTCCCGGGTCTGCGCCTCGTCCTTCCTCCTGAGGCCGCGGGGGGGCGCTCGGAAGCCCGGCTGCCTCCCTGTGTCTGCTCATCTCCGTGGGCTGCCCCAGGTCTCCTGAGGAGAGTCACTGTCATTCCTTGAATCTGAGCCATGTCGCCATCTGGAGGCCTCCCGGTGGCTGGTCTGTTCCTCATCTCAGGTCTGCACACTCCTCCACGCCAGCCCCATGCGACCCTGCAGAAAAACTGACAGAGCCCCCCCTTATTTAAATTATTTTTTTGGTTCCAAGGATTGAACCCAGGGGTGCTGAACCCCTGAGCCCCATCCCCAGCCCTTTTTCTATTTTATTTAGAGACAGGGTGTCTCTCAGTTGCTTAAAGCCTCACTGAGTGGCGGAGGCTGGCCTCCACCTAGCGATCCTCCTGCCTCGGCCTCCTGAGCTGCTGGGATGACAGGCGTGTGCCACTGCGCCGTGCTTGGCACACCATTTGGAAGTGAATCTTTCTTTTTTTAAATGTCAGAGCAGATCTACAAAACCCGTAAAAGCAGGCGTGATTAATATCTCTGTTGTAGCTAAGGACACTGGGTTACAGAGATTTTTAAAGTGACACTGAATCACACAGAGGCAGAGCGAAGTCCCAAGCCTGGGGTTTCCGCTTCAAGGTCGCTGCCCTTTCCTCTGTGTGAAGTCGTTGGCTAGAGGGCCTCAGTCCTCCTCCTCTGTAGTGAAGTCTGGAGAGACCCGATCATCAGGACGGCCGTCTGCCAGACCTGGAGATGCTCTGGGCACAGCACACCCTCTTTGGACTGTGTCTGTGAGGGGTGGTCCCCAGCTCTGGGCCATCGCACACTTACTGGGGACGATCACCAAGAGCGATGGGCAGATACCTGTAGAGCCAAGTGACAGGAGCATCCAAGGAATCCTTTTTACCTACACACTGGAGAAAAAGCAAGCCCTGCAATTTTTATTTTATGCTGGTAATACACAGCAGCCAGGCATGGGGTGGCGCACCCCTGTGATCCCAGCAGCTCAGGAGGCTGAGGCAGGAGGATCGCAAGTTGGAGGCCAGCCTCAGCCCCTTAGCGAGGCCCTAAACAACTCAGGGAGACCCTGTCTCTAAATAAAATAGAAAAAGGGCTGGGGACGGGCCTCAGGGGTAAGCACCCCTGGGTTCAATCCCTGGTACCAAAAAAAAAAAAATTAAATGCAAATAAAAGAAGAAAATAAATTTACCCATAATCCCATCACCCATGAATGCTGCCTGTTGGCGTCTCTCTGAGGGTTTCTGTCCCTTGTGGGAAACGTGTCTATAAAATAGGCCCTTAGATACGAGGGCTGCTGTGTGCACGTCTCGGTGGTGCTCCTACATCCTCCTCCCAAGCCGGCAAACACAGCTCTCCAGCCCCAGAATTGTCACAGAAATATCCAGGGCAAGAGGGACTTGTCGTCTTGTCCCTTCTTGCAGCCGATCTGCTGCTTCGTTGATTGTTGCCTTGGGGCAGAAGGGAAATTCTATTTTCTGAATGTCTGATTTGTTTTTCTTTTTTGGTACCAGGATTGAACCCAGGGGTCCTCAACCCCTGAGCCCCGTCCCCAGCCCTTTTTACATTTCATTGAGAGACAGGGTCTCACTGAGTTGCTCAGGGCCTCACTGAGCTGCTGAGGCTGGCCTCCAGCTTGCGATCCTCCTGCCTCAGCCTCCTGAGCTGCCAGGATCACAGGTGTGGGCCACCACTCCTGACTTGCCCTCTGTTTTTCATTTATATTTCTTTTTTTCTTTTCTCTTTTGGGCAGCGCTGGGCATGGAACCCAGGGCCTCACGCAAGCCAGGCAGGCGCTCTGCCACCCAGTTAGTCCTCCACCCTTGATGTGTATTTCTTGGATGCCGACTGAGGTTCATACCAAAAAGATCTTCCTGTGCTCCTCCGTTTCTCACAAATCCCCTTTGACTTTTGAGTGGTTTTGCATTATCGCTTGCTTGAATAACTGGCCTGAGACTCACACTCAGGGGACAATTTTCAGCCATTTGACATTAACCTAAAAGGACATTTAAAGTGACCATCCAAGGACTCCGGTCCCCAGATGCCTGTTTAAATTCCCGAGTTGAACGGAGGAGTCGGTTCATTAATACTTCAGCTGGTGCCGAAGGTCATCTGTGAGAGGGTGGCCATCCTGGAGGCCGGGAGCCCTCTCTGCATCCCGCCTCGCCAGCACAGGGCACGCCTCTCATCCCAGCAATGCAGAGGCTGAGGCAGGAGGATTGCAGGTTGGAGGCCAGCCTCAGCAGCTGGAGGCGGGCTGTGGCTGGAGGAAGAGGGTCCCTGGAGGCAGCACCATGGGGTGGATATTTGTCTTCTTTTTATCAGTGCATCACAGTAGTGGGACTCTCTGTTCCATATCCAAGACAATTCTGGCCTTTTCTTCTTATGGTGACATGAACTGAACCAAGGGGCACTTTGCCACCAGCCCACGTCCTTAGCTCTTTCATTTTGTGTTTTCAGACAGGGTCTTGCTAAATGGCTGAGGCTGGCCTCCAACTAGTGATCCTCCTGCCTCAGCCTCCCAGCTGCAGAGCTAGGGGTTTAGTGTCACCGAGGGAGAGGACACACTCGCCAGGACCCTCCAAAACTTAAGATACAGGCGTTAGGACCTTAGGAATCCCGGATCGCGACATTCCCATGTGATTTGCCCAGAACCCCAAGCCAGAGGGGTTAAGGGGCTTGCAGAAGTGTGGACAGGTCAGTTGGTGGCTGAGTCCCCCCATGGCCAGGTACTGTTGTCAATAGCATGACCAGTGCCACCAACGGGGTTGGAGGAGGAGCCAGACAGTGGAAGGTGGCTGGGGGTGGGGGCGTCCAGCTTCTGGAAACTCGGCCTCCAACTGAGCAGAAGGACTGTGGGGGGCGCTGGCCTCCAGGATCTCCCCAGCCTCGTGGGGTCAGCGGGGAGTGCAGCCTCCGCACGCCTGGTCCAGTCTGTCGACTGAGCCGGGCTCTTCTAGAAGGTCCCCAACTGTGTCAGTGCCCGCGTGCCGCCACACGAGCCAGGGCTGGCTGCTTCTGTCACCAGCCTCACAGGGGCCTCTCCTGAGGTTTTTCTGGTCATTGCGAATGCTGTCACCTACATTGCTGTCCCAGGGACCTTCAGACGTGAGATCTCACAGTGTAACAGACCCTTCCTTCCTCCTCCTCCCTCCCTTCGTCCCTCCCTTCGTGTCAGTCCGTGTGGCTGTCTGTCTGTCTCTCTCTCCCCCAGTGCTAAGGATGGATCTTAAGGCCTTCCACATGCCTGGCCACCACTCTTCCACTGAGCCCCGTCCCCAGCCCTTGTTATATTTTATTTAGAGACAGGGTCTCACTGAGTTGCTCGGGGCCTTGCTAAGTTGCTGAGGCTGGCCTCCACTTTGTGATCCTCCTGCCTCAGCCTCCCAAGTCACAGGGATGACAGGTGTGCACCACAGCACCCAGCTATGCACTGAATTTTATTTTTGAATCGATCTATTATAAGGTTCTTACTTATATTGAAGTAAAGAATTTTTATCCTTTTATGTATTTGTTTTATGGGTATAATTTCATATTGAATCTGAAATATTAAGATGTTTTCCTTTTTTTTCTTTTTTTTTTTTTTTGGTACCAGAGATTGAACTCAGGGGTACTTAACCACTGAGCCACGTCTCCATATCTTTTTTATGTTTTATTTAGAGTCAGAATATCCCTTAGCTGCTTGGGAGGCTGAGGCAGGAGGATCGCAAGGTGGAGGCCAGCCTCAGCAGCTTAGCAAGGCCCCGAGCAACTCAGGGAGACCCTGTCTCTAAATAAAATGCAAAAATGGCTGGGGACATGGCTCAGGGCTCGAGGGCCCCCTGGGTTCAATCCCTGGGACCAAAAAACAAGAGCCAGACCCCTGTGTTCTGTGTTCAACCCGCCCTCCTCCCCAGCCTCATTTCCCACTCTCGCCCCACATGACCAAGACTGATGCGTCCCTGTCCCTGTAAGCAGGTGATAACTCTTTCCTGTCGCTCAGTCCTGCTCAGTGGATCCCAGTAAGTCCGTGTTTGAAGAAGCCAACGCACTTTTCCTGTCTCTAGACTACATCTTCCCGGACTTAACGGAGAAGTCGGGTCCCCTGGAGGACACCGACCAGCCCCAGGACCTTCTGGGCCTCCCCTCGTCCTTGCCCAAGATGAACCTGGTGGAGCCTCCCTGGCACATGCCCCTGGAGGAGGAGGAGGAGGAGGAGGAGGAGGAAGAGGAGGAGGAGGAGGAGGAGCTGCTTCCTGTGACCGGACCCCAGGCGGAGGCCACCACACAGGCACCAGACTCTCCCCCCAGGGGCAGCAGCAGCCAGGCTCCGGGGGCCACCAGACCCCGGCAGGAGGACTCTGGGGACCAGGCGTCCTCGGGCGTGGACGTGGAGAGCAGTGCGGAGCCCAGCCTGTCGCCGCCCTCTGTCACCCCAAGCACGGTGACCCTGGGGGACCAGGACTTGCCCAGCCAGGAGGACACGGCCACCATGCTGCCAGCAGCAGGACTCGGGGTAGAGTTCAAGGTCCCTCAAGGAGCCCGTGAAGAGGCCACAGTGGGGGCCCCCGACTTGGCTGGCCGGCCAGGGGACCTGCCGCCCCTGGCTCCGTCCCCTGCAACCAGAGCCCCAGGCAAGGGTCACCTCGACCCTAGGACCTCAGCCTCTTTCCCACCAGCCCCCCGAGACACGGAGCCGACCCCTTCCCCTGCCACCCTGGGGCCAGACACACTCAGCCAGCAGCCGCAGGAGGGCCCGGTGGCCGGAGCGCCCTCCAGGACCCCCTGGGACTCCACACAGGTGAGGGACACACACAGGTGGACCTCGGCCACACCCTGCTGGGCCTCCCGCCACCCCGGCTGGTGCAGTGGGGCAGGGCCTGTCAGGTGGGGTTGTCCCCAGAGCCCCAGGGAAGCCTGGGAACGTTGCCATTCCTCACAGCCTAGCCTGGGACATCTGCCACCCTGAGCGCAAAGACCTTGGGAGAGGCTTGGTGGCCCTCCTGGTTCCACCGTTCAGGAGGCTACTGCTGCGCCCGTGGCCTCTGGTGTTGCTCCTCGGAGAAGCTCAGCAGGTGGCTGGCCTGCGCCCCTCCACCCCCGGCCCCCAACACACACCCACAGTTTCCAGAAGAGAAGGAAGGGGCCAGGTTTTTGGTGGGGGGACCAGGGATTGAACCCAGTGCGCTGGACCCCTGAGCCCCGTCCCCAGCCCTGTTTTGCATTTTATTTAGAGACAGGGTCTCGCTGAGTTGCTTAGAGCCTCACTTTGGCTGAGGCTGGCCTCTAACTGTGATCCTCCTGCCTCAGCCTCCTGAGTCACTGGGATGACAGGCGGCCCCACTGCGCCCAACAGGGGTCTGTTGTAGGCAGCTTTTTTGCTGCTGTGACTTAAGATCCCACTAGCACAACTGCAGAGGGGGACAGTGGACGTGGGGCTCAGGGTGTCCACAGACGGTGTCCACAGACGGCGGCCCCACTCCTGGGCCGAGGGGAGGCAGGACATCATGGAGGAAGAGTGTGGGGAGGGAGCAGCTCCCATGGGGACCAAGGAGCAGGGACTCCACTCTCCAGGGACAAATAGGGACCCCAAGCCACAGCCCCAGGGCCACCTCCTCCCCACACCCCACTAGGGACCCCCAGGGAGCCATTCAGTGCTGGGGTTCAGGCCTCACACCCCTCACTCCTCCTCTGCACCTCCCTGCATCACCTCCCACGGGGGCTCTGGGGACATGTCACAGCCACACCAGGACAGGGTCTGCCTGTGACCCACGGACCCCGGCAACCTGCCCCCAGTCTCTGAACAGGGCCCCGCAGCCCGGCCCCAGGGACAGTCCCCCTTTTCTCTGAGGCGCCCTCAGCGTGGTCCCTGAAGCCACCTGGGTTTGTGGCTCCTGGGCAGAACCAGTGGCCTGTCACCTTGTAGAGGTCGCCTGTCCCACTTGGCTCTGCAGACCCGCAGCGGCCGGGGTCTCCCAGCTTCCCACAGGGTGTCAGGTCTCTGTCCCCCGGGACCCCTGCTGACTGCGGCCACCCTCTTTCCGTCTCCTGTTCCAGGTCATCTGCAAGGACTGGAGCAACTTGGCCGGGAAGAACTACATCATCCTGAACATGACCGAGAACGTGGACTGTGTGAGTGCCCGGCCAGCGCATGCGCAGAGCGGCGGGGTCCCAGGGCCAGCCTGACCCCAGGACCATCAGCCCCGGCAACGTTACAAACCCCCAAACAAGGACAAAACAGACTAGGAGGGAGGGAGGGAAGGAGACAGGGTGCTTTTTGCATTTAAGGTTTTCTAAGGGGTCTCTCATTTTCTCCCTTTTGAATTTAGGGGCCCTGGACCCTGAGCCCCGTCCCCAGCCCCTTTTTATATCCTTATCTAGAGACAGGGTCTCGCTGAGTTGCTCAAGGCCTTGCTAAGTTGTAGAGGCTGGCCTCCAACTTGCGAACCTCCTGCCTCAGCCTCCTGAGTCACTGGGATCACAGCTACTGCACCCAAAGGCTTCCTTACCATTGGCTCTGGGCACCCATATTGAGAACAGAGTTGTCCCGCTCTTGAAAGGCAGCACTTCTGTCACCTTTGGTGGCTTAGAGACGAGGGCTGGCCGGGGCTCCCCTCGGGTGGCCGGGGGAGTGGCTCTGCCTCCCCAGCAGCCCTGGCTGACCTGTCTGTGGCAGGGCACCCAAGTTGAGCTGAGCGGCCCGAGGGGGGTGGCCGACTTTCGAGGCTGGGAACGTGGGTGTAGCTACTTTGCACATCCAGGAAGAAGAGGAGCTGGAGGGCCTAGTGGCCCCGGGACCAAAGGAGGGTCTCTTCCCCGATGTGACTTGGTGATCTGTGTGCCAAGAGGCCTCCAGCCCCAGCCTGGGCCCCTGCCACCGGGTTCCTCTTTAGGACCAGACCCTTGTTTTCATTTCACATGGCGTGACCGTGCCTGGGCCTGCTCAAGGACACGGACCGCTGTGCAGAGCGCCCAGTGGGCAGAAGTCCGACCTCCAGCACCTCCGCCCTGTCCCCAGGTCCAGGGGCCACTGGGCCGTCTGTCTCTTGAGGACACCAGCATAAGAGCCCGCGGCGGCTCTTTTCATTACCACCACAGGCCAGATCTCTGCGGTGGCAGAGGGGAGACGGGCCACCTCTCCCCAGATCCTGGGGGCCGCATTGCTGCTGTGGTGGGCGGGCGAGGGGCCCTGTCACCGCTCCTCCAGTGGCTGCACTGATGTGCGTCCTTACGGTCCCCAACCCTCTCTGTACCCCATGCCCGACCCCATGGTGCTCTGACCCCAGGCACGAGGAGCAGCCACCTGTCCCCTGTTCTCCCAGCTCCACTGGGGGCTAGAGAGGCGGCCCCAGCCCTTCCTCACCTGGAGCGGCCAGAGCAGAAGGGACAGCGTCCTCCTGTCCCACCCCGCAGCCCGGCTCCGGCTCACAGGTGGTCCCCAGAGCTGGTCAGAGGAGCCCCAGGGTCTTTCTCAGCCTTTGGCCACGGAGCGCAGGGTGACATGGGCCTGTCCCTCCCTGAGCCAGGCCTCTGACCTTGCAGGAGGTGTTCCGGCGCCACCGAGGGCTCCAGCTGGTGGCCCTGGTGGAGGAGGTGCTGCCCCGGCACCGCAGCGGCCGTCGTGGGGACTGGCACATCTCCCTGAGCAAGCCCAGCGAGGAGCAGCACCTCCTCATGGCGCTGGAGGGCGAGCAGGGTGAGGGCGGCGGCGGCCTGGGGCCCGGGACAGCACACCTCCTGGTCGCAGGCCCCAGGCCACCGGATAAGCTTGGCTCGGGGGACAAAGGCGGAGGGCGCAGGGGCAGGGCGCAAGGAAACGCTGGTCGTTCCAGCCCAGGTGGGACGCCACGGTGTGGCGGGAGGGAGGGGCAGGAGGGGCTGCAGAGGTGATGTCCGGCCACACCTGTGACCTGGCCACCCACCGGGTCAGCTGGACGCACAGGGAGCCAAGGGCGCGCCCCTTTCCGCAGGCGCTGGTGGTGCGCGCTTGCGCCTATGCGCCCCGAGGATCTGGGTGTCATTACAGCCCAAAAGTGGGGTTGAAGGGGCTCAGGCCAGTGGTCCCAGAGGGGGTCTAGGTCTAGGGACCCCCCAGAAGGGCCGCAGGGGCCATGGCCGTGCTGATGGGGGCCTTTCTCCTCCCAGGGGTGGTGCCCACTCAAGATGTCCTCTCCATGCTGGGTGACATCCGTAGGAGCCTGGAGGAGGTAAGGGTACAGGGACTTGGACCCCTGAGCTGCTCCCGTCTGTCCCTCAAGCTCTGGCGACAGCTGGCTTCCCTGAGGGACCCCACAGCACGTGGGTCAAGGAAGCCCAAACAGACCGGGGTCTGGGCAGGGTGAGGCCTCGTGAGCCTGGGGGCCCTTCCCAACCAGGCCCCGGGGAAGGGGCCTGGGGTCCTGGAGAGAGGGGGAGTCAGGGAAGGGCCTGGAGAAGAGGGGGTGGGGGGTAAACAGGGAACAGCAGGACCCCTGTAGCACCTGGAGGAGGGAGCGTGACAGGTTCTAGAAACCTCAAGAATGTTCTGGAAGCCTGGGTATGCCTCAGGAGCCACCAGCCCAGTACCTCCAAATGGGCAGCCGCCATGGCTCCTCCCGCTGGGGACCTGGGGTGCCAGACATGGATGCCACCTTGGGTGCTGAATGCCTGGGGCCTCCTGGGGAGACCTGGGCGGAAGGACAGACAGCAGCCCGTCCCCAGCTGCTGGACCAGCCCGTGGAAGCCGAGGTCCCCAGTCTCCTTACCTACTTCCCCAAAGGGCAGGACCCTGCATTCCTCCCCCCCCCCTCGTGGAACCCAATGACGTGTTGCCAGTCCTCTTCATTCTTGAGCTCTGCAATATGTGACAGTAGATATGAACGTGTGACCCTGGGCCACATCCTTATCTGTCACATGCAGGGGGACCCTGTTTCCGTGCTGGTGTTTTATCTTGGTAAACACAGTGCTCACTCGGGGCCAGACCTGGGTGCTCTCACTTAGTCCTCGGTGCTCCCCCCCCCCCAGGCTGTCAGGATTAAACAGGGCACCCTCTGGGTGACACACACTCCATAGGCAAGTGACCTCACACCCAGAGAAGTGAGGTCACTTGCCTATCGAGTTCTTGCCTATCGAGATCTTCCCCAGTTCTGCGATCCTGGGCTCGGGAACACTGTGGTGGGGACGGTGGAGGCCTGAGCTGGCCTTGGCCTCCTGCACCTGCCTCCCTCCCCCTGGGCACTCTGTCCTCATGGCCCCTGGAGCAGCTGGACTGGGCCCCACGACATGCCGGGTCTCTGCAAGGATGTAAGCACACGAGTTGAGCAAGGACACTGGCAGGTGGTTCTAGCAAGACAAACTGACCCTTGTTAACCGAAAGTCCCCAAAACGTGCAGATGGGTCACAGAAACTGCAAGAATTAAAATCCCGGTGCACCCAGGCCTGCCACACAGCCACCTGGCATCACTGCACTCGGGGCTCAGCCCCAGGGCACAGCAGCCTCTTGGCAGACAGGACAGGCCTGGGACAGACCACCCATAATGACCAGAACATACCAGAATCCCCCCACGCCCGCTGCAAGGTGGGAGCCTGTAGCCCCCAGTCCTCAGCCCCCAGCGAGCACAGGTGCCTGTCCCCAGCCCAGTCCCAAGCTCCAGCAGCCCCCCCCCAGGTCCTGAGCCGCGGACCCCGGCCCCTCCCCCCCTAGATTGGCATTCAGAACTACTCCACGACAAGTAGCTGCCAGGCGCGGGCCACCCAGGTGCGCAGTGACTACGGGACGCTCTTTGTGGTGCTGGTGATCATCGGGGTCATCTGCTTCGTCATCATCGTGCTCGGCCTGCTCTACAATTGCTGGCAGCGCCGGCTGCCCAAGCTCAAGCACGTGGTGAGCCCAGGGGACAGGGACAGGACGAGGCTGGGCCCGGGAGGGAGCCGGTGGAGAAGGACCAGACGCGGTGCCCGCGCCTTAGGCATGGTGTGGTGGTGGCCGAGTGTCCCGGGTGCACAGGGCTGTGCCGAGGACCACACGGGCACTGCGGGAGGGGGATGTGTCCTCATCCTTGGGGTCCCACCTGGGTCCCAGCTCCTACCCCAAGCGTGGCACTGCAGGGTCCGTGGCAGAGCCAGGCCCCGGGCCCGGCGCTGCGCAGGCGCCAAGCGGAGGTTTCCCAAGAGCAAGGCCCGGGTCAAAGCCCACCGAAGCGCGCGTTTTGACTTTGACTTGCAAAGTGTGTTGGAAGGGATCGCACGACCCCAGGCAGGCGACAGGGTGTCCTAGTGCGAAGGATCATTCAGGAGCTCAGCGTGGCACCAGAAAAGTGGGAGCATGCCAGCTTCAGGGGGTCCCCTGGGGGTGCCCCGTCGGGTCTTACTAAGCCCCGGGGCTGTTCGGCGGGCCGGGGGACGGAGCCCGCGCCCAGCGCCCTCTCCCACCGCTGCAGTCGCACGGCGAGGAGCTGCGCTTCGTAGAGAACGGCTGCCACGACAACCCCACGCTGGACGTGGCCAGCGACAGCCAGTCGGAGATGCAGGAGAAGCAGCCGAGCCTGAACGGCGGCGGGGCCATCAACGGCCCGGGGAGCTGGAGCGCGCTCATGGGGGGCAAGCGGGACCCCGAGGACTCGGACGTGTTCGAGGAGGACACGCACCTGTGAGCGCGGGCCTGCGAGCCGGGCCGGGGGCCGCGCCGGGATCGAGCAGCGCGGCCCCGAAGCAGACCGCCGCGGAGCCCGCACGCGCCCGCGCCCCCTCCCCGGACCGCGACCCGCGGCCAGGCCCTCGACGCGGGGCTGCTCCCCGCTTCCCCCGACTCCACACCGCGACCTCGGCACAGCGCCCCCTCTCCCGGCCCCGCGAACCCCGGCCCGCGGGCGGCGGGCGGCGCTCTGAGCGCTCCGCCCGGGACTTCATTAAACCCGCCCGGGGACTGCCGGGCCGCCAGTCCGCTGCTCGCCTGTTCTTACTTCCGGGAGGCGGGGCCTGGGGGCGTGTTCGAGGGCGGGGCCGGGCGTCACCGTTGACTGTGGGGAGAGGCGGAGCCTGCGGCGGGGCGGGGCCGGACGTCATTGTTGGCGGGGGAAAGAGGCGGGGCCTGCGCCGCTGCGGGGCGGGTCCGGGCGTCGTTGGCGGGAAAAGAGGCGGGGCCTGCTCCGCTGCGGGGCGGGGGCGGGACCGGGCGTCGCTGTGGGGCGGGGAGAGACCGGGCGTCGCTGTGGGGCGGGGCGAGGGGCGGGGCCTGCGCCGCTGCGGGGCGGGGCCTGCGCCGCTGCGGGGCGGGGCGGCGCATGTTTACGTCCCGCCGGGCGCGCCGCGTCGCCGCCTGAGGTTGTTCGGCCGGGGTCCGAGCTTCTCGCACCATGGACACCAGCGACCTGTTCGCCAGCTGCAGGAAAGGGGACGTGGGCCGCGTGCGGTGAGGACCCGCGGTCCCGGGAGGGCGCAGGGGGAGTGCCCCGGCCGGCGGGCGTGCAGCGGCTCTCAGCTCCCACCCGCGGAGCGCCGGGGCGGATTCGCAGCCCGAGGGCTCCCTGGAGGAGGGCACCCTGCCACCCAGTAGCGCCGGATGCGGATCCCGGGGCAGGCTGGGACCCCTTCGTGGCTCCTTTCTCGTATCTGACGCTGCGGACCGGACCGCGGTCCCCTGGGAGGCAGAGGCTCCCGGTGCAGCTCGCGCCAGCTCCAGGGGCCCGACGGGGAGGCCAGGGGCTCCCCGTTGGGACCCGGGCACCCCTCTTCCTTGGTCCTCCCTCGCCCGGGACTTCTGACACCCCCTCCCCCAGCTGATCCCAGGCTGTGGCACTCTGGCAAAGCCTCGCGGGGCCCTCCCCGACTTCAGGTGGCACCCAGGAGTGGTGGATAAGCCGCGGAGCTGAGTGAACTCAGCCTTCCGGGGTCTCTCCCAGGCCGTCTCCGGGCTGCCTGTCCGCCCAGAGCTGGCGCATCACCCCCTCTCTCACTTTCTCTCCCGGGTCACCTACCATGTCCCACGTGTGCCCTTTTAGATCGGCGCCCCTGTCCCTGTCCCTGATGCCTGAGCTGCGTCGTTCCCCCTGCCTCTAGCAGAACCAGCCTACTGCCCCCCAAAGCCGGAGGGCTCTGGCTGAAATAGGGGCCCCCTCACCTCTCTCCCAAGTGCAGAAAGCTCAGCGTCCCATCCTTGTCCCCTCCCGGGCCTGGCCTCTGCACCCAGGATTCCCCGCCACACCTGATGCTTAGTGTCCAGCTCTTCTTGTCTACTTGTCCTCAAAAGCCTTCCTCCCTCTGGTCTGCCTGGTCTAGGGGAGGCTCCCCCAGCTCAAAAGCAGGTTTTCAGCCTCCTTCCCCAGACTATGACCGTTCTGACCCCGACTCTGTCCTCCTTCCTACCAGGTACCTGCTAGAGCAGCGAGACGTGGAGGTAAACGTTCGCGACAAGTGGGACAGCACCCCCTTGTGAGTGCCAGGCTGGTGGGGTGGTCTGGCCGGGCATGGCGGGCCCCTGCGCCTCTGGCCGCTGCATTCCCATCCTTCCTCCCCTCAGATACTATGCCTGCCTCTGTGGGCATGAAGAGTTGGTCCTCTACCTTCTGGCCAACGGTGAGAGAAGGAGTCCTGTGCATTGTCCTTGGGCCCCACTAGAGTGTAAATTCAATGGGCTCAGGGGCCTGTCTTTTTTTGGGGGGGCTGTGTCCTTTATAGCCAGCCACAGAGTTGTGGGTACAGTCTATACTGCAGATCTGGGTGTATATGTCTACCTGCCTTGCCCGGTACCTTGCAGGGAAGATACTGCGGTCAGAGTGGACCCAGGGTAACTTGGGAAGGGGGCGTCAGGGCTTATGAGTTGTACAGGTGGAGCGGTAAGCAGGAGGGGCGGGAGATTCAGATTTCCGTCAGGCTCCAACCCACTGATAGCCGAGCCCTGCTGCCCTAGGAGCCCGCTGTGAGGCCAATACCTTTGATGGCGAGCGCTGCCTCTATGGGGCACTGAGCGACCCCATCCGCCGGGCTCTGCGGGATTACAAGCAGGTCACGGCCTCCTGCAGGCGCCGGGATTACTATGATGACTTCTTGCAGAGGTGAGCTGGGCCCTGGGCACCAGGTGATGCGCAGAGGGCGGGGCTTGCATGCGCTGGGCATGCGCAGTTGGGCGCACACTGGGCTAGGCGCCACGATCTGAGCCGTCCAGTGAGTGTCGCTGTTGCCCGGTGTCCGCAGGCTCCTGGAGCAGGGCATCCACAGTGACGTGGTCTTCGTGATTCACGGAAAGTCCTTCCGCGCGCATCGCTGCGTCCTGGGGGCGCGCAGTGCCTACTTCGCCAACATGCTGGACACCAAGTGGAAGGGCCGGAGCGTCGTGGCGCTGCGGCATCCGCTGGTGCGCCCCGTCGAGGGGGGGGGGGTGTCCAGGGGCCCGAACAGCCGCGCATGCGCTGATCGCTGATCGCCTGCCCCTGACCGTCGTGCCCCGTGGTCTCTGTGTCCCACAGATCAACCCGGTGGCGTTCGGAGCCCTGCTGCAGTACCTGTACACAGGTGACTCCATGCTCAGGTGCGGTGGGCGGGGCGAGGGCCACCTCGCTGGACAGCCAGGTGACCTTGCACCTCTAGGCCTTCTCGGGTGGGGCGTGGGCAGTGGCCTGGCCTGCCCGCTGGGCCACCTGTGGCTGTCCCCTCCCCTCAGTCCCGCGCTAGGCTACCACCTAGGGCGCTCCTTTGGGGCACGGGATGTCCCCGAGGGCCCCTCCAGGCCCTGATCGGTCCCCCCTGCGCCCAGGCCGCTTGGACATCGGAGTGGAGCACGTCAGCGACTGCGAGCGCCTGGCCAAGCAGTGCCAGCTGTGGGACCTGCTGGGCGACCTGGAGGCCAAGTGCGAGAAGGTGTCGGAATTCGGTGCGTCGCGGGGCTCTGGGCGCGGGGCTCCGGGTGGCGCCGCAGGGTCGGCCCGGCCCTGATGGCGTCTCGCTCCGCAGTGGCCTCCAAGCCCGGCACGTGCGTCAAGGTGTTGACCATCGAGCCCCCGCCCGCCGACCCCCGGCTCCGGGAGGACCTGGCGCTGCTGGCCGACTGCGCGCTGCCCCCCGAGCTACGGGTGAGCGCGCTGCAGGTGGCCCTGCCCCGCCCCGGGCTCCCCGCCGGGGCCACCCCTGCCCTTCTGAGCGCCGATGGGTCCCTCTCCCGTGTCCCAGGGCGACCTCGGGGAGCTGCCCTTCCCCTGCCCCGACGGCTTCAACAGCTGCCCAGATGTCTGCTTCCGCGTGGCCGGCTGCAGCTTCCTGTGCCACAAGGTACCTGTCCCCCGGTCGCCCGCCCTGCCCCGGCCCCTGCCCCTGCCCGGCCCCCGCTGAGCCCGGCCTCCCCCAGGCCTTCTTCTGCGGCCGCAGTGACTACTTCCGGGCCCTGTTGGAGGACCACTTCCGAGAGAACGAGGAGCCTGCGGCCTCTGGGGACCCCCCGGTTGTCACCCTGCAAGGCATCTCCCCCGAGGTCTTCACGCACGTGCTCTACTACGTGTACAGCGACCGCACCGAGGTGCGCTGCGGCCGGGCGGCGTCGGGGGAGCGGGGACGACGTGGGGGGGAAGATACTGCGGTCAGAGTGGACCCAGGGTAACTTGGGAAGGGGGCGTCAGGGGGTGACGTCGGGGGTCGACATGGGGGGGAAGACGTGGAGGGGTGACATCGGGGAGAAGACGTTCGGGGGAGATGGGGTGGGATGTCGGGGAGCTTCATAGGGGGTGACGTCATGGGGGGGGCTACGTGGGGGGGGGGCGCTGTGCCTTTGGACAGAGGGGCCCTGGTGGCTTCCGACCAAGAACGGGAGACAGACTCTGGTCCTTGGGGGCATCGGGTCAACTCCTCACGATCCCCAGTTGCTCCAGCAGATAGGGTGCCGTGGGGACTGTAACCCTATGTCCTTAAGGGTCCCGACCCTCCTGCCCACCCAGGGCCACAGACTCCTGGGGTCCTGGGCTCTCCTGTCACTTCCTCCCCTGGTGCCTCCCTCTGCCCTCAGTTACCCTGAGACTTCGCCAGCGTGAGGCCTCCCGGTTGGCAGTGGGTGCTGTTGGCCGTCCCCCTGGTGGGGTGTCTGAGGGTGTGATGGCCGCGGTGCTGTCACTGGGCACTCAAAACAGGCCAGCTCCAAGGCTGGTTTGATTCTGGATCAGCTTAGCCGGGTGCACAGCGCCCACTTGTCATCCCAGTGGCTCAGGAGGCTGAGGCAGGAGGATCTCCTGTTGGAGGCCAGCCTCGGCAACTAGTGAGGCCCTGACTCAAAATACAGAGGGGGCTGGGGACGGACGGGGCTCAGTGGTTGAGCACAGTTGGGTTCAGTCCCTGGCACCAAAAAAAGAACCCCACACAAGCCCCAAGCTTGTTTCTGGTTAGGGTCTGAGGCGAGTGTCCCAGGGCAGGTGGCTTGCTGGGGACCCAGGTTGTCTTCTCCCTCTTGCTTCCCTGCCACCCCTAAGGGGACCCCAGACCTTCCTTCTGTAGGTGACTATTTCAGGCTCTCAAAGCCAGGCGGTCTCTCTCAGCTACTTGGCTCTAGCACAGCAGAAGCCATTGCATTCCCAGGCTGAGGGCCTGTGTTCCAATAAAACTTTATTTACACCCACGGCCCCCAGGCTGAGGCTCACCCACCTGCCCAGGGCGTTACCTTCTGCTTAGGGAAGTTGAGCCACAGGCAACTTCCTGATGTCGGAGGAAGAGGAAGATGGGGGCGAGTGGTTTCCTTCTCCAGGAATCACTGAAAGTTGCACCTGTCAGTTCTCACGCTCCCCCAGAAATTGCTTAGTGACCACACTTGCCAATGGGGAGGGGGGGAAACAGTCCCTGTCACTTTAAGAAGGGGAGAAGAAGCCGGGCGCGGTGCCCCCACCTGTCATTCCAGGGGCTCGGGAGGCTGAGGCAGGAGGATCACAAGTTGGAGGCCAGCCTCAGCAATTCAGTGAAGCCCTCAGCAACCTCGTGAGACCCTGTCTCTAAAATATAAAAAGGGCTGGGGACAGGGCTCAATGGTAGGTTTAGCACCCCTGGGTTCAGTCCCTGGCACCAAAAGGGGGGTGTGTGAGGCATTCTGGGGGACAGATGGCAGTCTCCATTGCAGCACCCAGCTGGAAAGAGCTTTTAGCTGCCTCCTGTCTCCCACAATCCCAGGCCTGGAGGCCTCTGCTCAGACTCCTTCCCATGCTCAGCCTCTACCTGGCTCCTCGGGCCTCCCTTCCTCCTCCTCTACTTCATTATTTCCTATCCTGCAGCTTGGCCCAGCGCCCTGGCCCTGCCCTGGGGGTATATCCTGAAGACACTCCTTACTGAAGGAGCTTTGGGCCCCAAGGCCACCTTCTTGACAGCTCACAGCGGGAATTGGTTTGACACTGGACCAGCCCCCGTGAGCTGTGTGATCTCACCCAGGTTACTTAACTTCTCTGTGTCTCCGTGATCCCCTCTGGAAGCACCTGGGATAATGCCTGCCTTTACTCCCTCAGGTCTTGGGCAAATGCGCATGTCACGGCTGGCCAAGCAGGTAGCACGGTACCTGGCCTGGCACAGGGCCGGCAGCCTGACACTAGTCGGACACCTAGCCTTCCCCTGCCAGGGACAAAGCCCTGGGTTGCTCCCAAGTCCCCACAGGCAGTTCCTCCCGACACCCCATCCCCCGCCTCTCAGGAGCCACATTCCCCCTTGTCAGGGTCCCTGCCTTCGCCTCCAGCAGCCACCTTCTCTGTACCTGCCCTGACGGCCTTACCCAAACAAGCAAACGGGCACAGAGAAGTTAAGTGACCTGCCCAGGGTCACACAGCTAGAAGTAGCACAGTCCACCCAGGTCTGTGCGATTGGGGGCTCAGCCAAGACACGGGGGGGGGGGAACCCCTTCAGTTCTCTTCTGTCCCTGTGTCCCCATGGGTGGGGATCTAGGCCAAGCTTAAGAGCCTGAGTGGCCTCTGCTCCCTGGATGTCCCGCCCTCCCCACGCAGGTCTGAGCGCGGCCACGGGTGACCTGGGTGACCAGGGGCTGCGCCGTCGCCCCTTCTTTTCCGCAGCTGCCCCCCGAGGCGGCCTATGACGTGCTGAGTGTGGCGGACATGTACCTGCTGCCGGGCCTCAAGAGGCTGTGTGGCCGCAGCCTGGCCCAGCTGCTGGACGAGGACAGCGTGGTGGGCGTGTGGCGCGTGGCCAAGCTGTTCCGCCTGGCGCGGCTGGAGGACCAGTGCACGGAGTTCATGGCCAAGGTCATCGAGAAGGTGGGCGGCGGGCGAGTGGGCGTGGTGGTGGGGGGGTGGACAGGTGGATGGGGCAGGGCGGTGGGCGAGGTGGCGGGCAAGTGGCAGGGCAGTGGGGGAGGTGGGCGTGGTGGTGGGCATGCAGGTGGGCGGGGCGACAGGGAGGTGGGCGTGGCAGCAGGGAGGTGGGCGGGGTGGGGGGGCTGTGGGGGAGTACGTGGGTAGGTGGGCGTGACCGAGAGGTAGGCGTGGTGGGCATGACCAGGAGGTGGGCGTGGTGACGGGGCTGTGGGCGGGCAGGTGGGCGTGACCGGGAGGTAGGCATAGCAGCAGGGAGGTGGGCGTGGCGGCAGGGAGGTGGGCGGGGCGGCGGGCAGGTGGTGGGTAGGTGGGTGTGACCGAGAGGTAGGCGTGGCGGCAGGCAGGTGGCAGGGTGGCAGGCAGGTAGGCGGGGTGGGGGGCTGGGGGGGTCGTGGGTAGGTGGGCGTGACCAGGAGGTGGGCGTGGCGACGGGCAGGTGGGTGGGGCTGTGGGCGGGCAGGTGGGCGTGACCGGGAGGTAGGCGTAGCAGCGGGAAGGTGGGCGGGGCGGCAGGCAGGTGGGCGTGGTGATGGGCAGGTGGGCGTAGCAATGGGCAGACGGGCGTGGTTACAGGCGGGTGGGCGTGGTTACAGGCAGGTGGGTGTGGTTACAGGCGGGTGGGCGTGGTTACAGGCGGGTGGGCGTGGCACCCGGTGTCCACAACCCTCTGAGCCCGCCTGTCCTGCAGCTTGTGGAGCGGGAGGACTTCGTGGAGGCCGTGAGGGAGGAGGCCGCGGCCGTGGCCTCCCGGCAGGAGACGGACTCCATCCCCCTGGTGGACGACATCCGCTTCCACGTGGCCAGCACCGTGCAGACCTACAGCGCCATCGAGGAGGCCCAGCAGCGGCTGCGGGCCCTGGAGGACCTGCTGGTGTCTATTGGCTTGGACTGTTGAGGCCAGGCCTGTGACCGGGCAGGCCTCCAGATTGGGCCTCCCTCGGGCACGGGCGTGCGTGTGCGTCTGCGCGTGGAGTCTTCTTGCTCCTTGTACACTGAGAGCATCAGGGTGGGCGGACGGGGCTCGCTGGCCCACCCAGGACCTGGGGAACCCTGGGGGGAGGGTCTCCGTGGCCACAGCCACCTCCTCCCCAATGCACAAACCAGCTTCCAGGACCCCGGGCTGGGCACCACTCAGGAAAAGCCGGGGCAGGGGACTCTGGCCTCTCGGGGCCTCCCTCCCCGGGCATCCGGCCCTGGCCCAGCCCGGTCCTGGCTTGCTTTGACCCTTCCCGCGTGTGGGGCCGGGCGGGAGGGCGGGGCAGCCTGTGTGGTAATAAAGAGTGGCTTCGCGGCAGGTCCCCAGCCTGTGTCAGGGGACAGCTTGGGGAGGGGGGGGGCAGCAGAAGTGGGGCCCAGTGCAGAGGCTGGCCAGAGGCTCAAAGCCGACCTGGACGTCTCTGTGGGCCTCAAGCCTCCTTGGCCCTGTCTCTGCCTCCATTTCCTGCCTCCACTGGCCTCTGACTGTGGTGGGCCTCTTTGGGCCTCCTTCCAGGAGGATCATTTTCCCTCAGCCTAGACCCCATCTCCTCTCCAGGGAGCCCCTTGTGGCCCTTCCTACAAGGACTGTGACATTTTAGTCTGATGGCAAAACATTTCCTGTGTGAAGCTGTCCAGGGCCCCAGGAGGTAGTGGGCCATGGGGAAGGAAATGAGGGGGTCAATATGGCAGAACTTCCTGTGGCCACGGAGCCCTCAGTGAGGCCTCTGAGTCCACGAGGCTACTCAGGCTGCACAGTGTGGGGTGAGGGGGCCCAGGGACACAGGACCAGCTGCGGCATTGAGAGGATTTCTGCTTAGTTTCTATAATGTGGATTTTAGGGTTTCAAAACCACATCTGACCCTCATTTAACATTTTTTGGGGGAAGGAGATACTAGGGATTTAATCCAGGGGTGCTGGGGTGCTCTACCACTGAGCCACAACCCCAGCTCATCACCACCCCCACTTTGTTTGAGGTAGGGTCTCAGTAAATTGCTGAGGCTGGCCTCCAACCTGTGATCCTCCTGCCTCAGCCTCCCCTGTTGTGAGGGTTATAGGTCAGGGCCACCCTGTCTGGTTTCACAGCGCCTTCTATCCCGAGTGAAAAGATTTCACAGGTATAAAAATATAAAATATTTATAAAATAAAATAAATATAAAAATAAATCAAGGGGCTGGGGTTGTGGCTCAGTGGTAGAGCACTCACCGAGCATGCACGAGGCCCTGGGTTTGACCCTCAGCACCACATAAATGTAAAATAAAGAGATTGTGTCCACCTAAAGCCAAAAAATAAAAACATTAAAATAAAATAAAAAATCAGTGGAAAAAAGGCAAATAAAAACTGAAGAAATAAAGTCTGGCACTAAAATGCAAGGAGGGCTTCTCAAGAAGGGGATCTGGAATGATCAGAGCAGGAGGGACCCATGCAGACAGAGGGTCTGTTGAGACACAAGTGGGCCAGGTGCTGTGGCCCACGCCTGTCACCGCAGAGACTCGGGAGGCTGGGGCAGGAGGATCGCGAGTTGGAGGCCAGCCTCAGCCACTTAGGGAGGTCCTGAGCAACTCAGCGAGACCCAGTCTCTAAATAAGATCTGAAAGGGTGACTTGAAGTCAACATGAATCAATAAAACTGTCCCTGCGTTTGGGTACAAGTTGATATCTGGTGTGCCCTGTGATTTTTTTTTTGTTGTTCACATTCATTTTGATTTTTAAAACTATGAGCTTAAAATATTGCTTCTCTTGATAGTGAAGGTTCTTGATGATGAAGGTGCTTGGGCCTCCCTTGAACCTCGTGTCCCCAGTGAGTCCCTCAGTGCCTTGCCCAGCCCTGCCCTGAGTTGTAGTCTCTAAGTGCATAATAATAATTCATTTTTCCACCATCCTATAATTTCTTTTTTTACATATGCTTTTTCTCTGCTGAGAAAACTCCTATGTAACCCTCAATACCCCTCGAGCTGAGCAGACGAAAGATCAAAGGCAGGGCTCAGGCTGCAGCCTGCACACGGGGGTTGGAGGAAGAGGGTCGGGTGTTCTAGCTGGGATCAGGGACAGCAGTGGTCCCTGGGGCAGGAACGTGTCACTTGGGAAGAAGTGGAAGTACCCTGAGAGGTCTTTATATTTTGAGCACCAGAGGGGACATTCTGGCCGGACTTCTCAGATTCTCTCTTCAGGGCCCCAGACCAAGTGGCTTGCAAAACATGAACCTGATGCAAGATGTGAAGTTGTGTCACCGCCCTGACCCATGGCTGGCTCAGTCCCCGTCACTCTGCAAGATGGAACGCCCGGATCGAGAGGTCTGCATTGTCCCCTTGAATGTGTCTCTGCTTTCCTTCTTTTTGGTCCCAGGGATTGATCCCAGGGGTGCTGAACCCCTGAGCCCCGTCCCCAGCCCTTTTAACTTTTTATTCAGAGACAGGGTCTCACTGAGTTGCTCAGGGCCTCGCCAAGTGGCTGAGGCCAGCCTCCACCTTGTGATCCTCCTGCCTCAGCCTCCGGAGCTGCTGGGATGACAGGTGTGTGCCCTGGTGCCCGGCTCGCTTATGTTTTAAGGGTCTCTCTGGCTGTTTGGGGACAACAGACTCCCTGAGGCCAGCTGGGGTGGGGTCGGGGGACCGCTCCTTCAGAGCAAGGGCCGCAGGGGAGCAGGACAGTCCGACCCTGGCCAAGCTCTGGAGGCCACCCACCCACGGAACCCAGAGCGCTGGAGTGTGCATCAGGCGACCAGCCCGACACGGCAGGGCTCACCCAGGACTCCACTGTCCCTCCCAAAAGGGTCCCAGGGCCCCCTCTAAGGGAGGCCTGTCACGTGGGACAGACAGACAGACAGACAGCGTTCAGAAAACATCTGGTTTATTAGGGTTAGCGGTAGCGTACATGGGTTCCTTTAAGAGTTCCAGGCCAATCCACGTTCCCCACTAACAGTACACGGGAGGGATGTGACTTGAGCCGCGGTGACAATGACATACCCGTCCATGGCTTGGAAGATGACCGGGATCCTAATAGATGGATGGCGGCCATCGGCGGCCAGAGGAAGGAAAGCTACTGAGAGACGGTGGGGCCTGGAGGTGGCATGCGGCCAGAGACCTCTGGGGGGGTCCAGAGCGTCCTGAGGGTGGTGGCCCCTGGAACCTTCTAGAAGGTGACTGCTGCCCACTGCCTTGCTACCTGCAGAGGGTGACCTTTACCTAAAAAAGATTTTCAGGCCCCAAACCCAGTTCCCTATGGAGGCCCGTGACTTGGAGGCCCTGGGGACCATCCCACTCCGGATCAGCGCTGGGCCTAATGTCCAGGCAGGGTTTGGACCAGCTGCATCCTGGGGTCCCCTCCTGGGCTCTGCCCTCCTCTCACCCCTCAAGGCCAAGCCCTGGGGGACCCCGGGGGGACCCAGTATCCCTTCCAACCCCAAGTGCCTCGATGCCGCGGTCCAGGACAGGACCCTGAGGGCCAGAATGTCACCACGGAGCTGTCAATGCCGATGGTGACCCTGGTTCTAGGCTGGCCCGGATTTTTGAGAGACAGAGGGGCACCCAGCATGGGGCACTTCCAGATGTGGCTGATGTGCCACGGATCGAGCCACAGAGGAGGCACGTCCGTGTCCCCTGTCCCCTGTCCCCTCTTCCAGGGTTCACAAGATGGTCCCTCATTTCAGGTCATTTTTTTCTCTCTGGAATATTAGTAACTCATGAACAAGACATATAAGTGGGCCCCCCTTGGTGACTCTGTCAGGGCTTCTATGGAAGGACATCCAGGGGTCCAGGGGGAGCCTCCCGGCCACCCCCCCAAGAAGGACAGGGCACTCCCGCCACCCCCAAAGAAGAAGGGTCCGAGCCCCCCAGATTCTGAGCTTCCATATTGGGGATCCTGGCAGGAGGAGCATCCCCTCCCCCAAGAGGGGTCCAAAGGGCACCCCGACTTCTCCCTCGCAACCCCGCGGGGTGTCCCCAGCGGCCGAGCTCCCACCCATGGTTCTAGTCGCACTAACGAGACTTTTGAGGTAACAGCAAGTCCCAAGGTCAAGGTGAAAGAGTTCCCAAGGGCGGGGGGGGGATCCCCAGTTATTGCTGGCTCACAGGGCGGCCACGGGCAGGGCCAGGGCTGGGGTGGGCACCTGAGAAGCCCAGGTCAGGCTCGGTCCTTGTCTGGGAAACGTTGGGTGACACTCGTTTAGGCCGTGACTGAGCCCTGGGCAGGGGCAGGGGGCATCTGGGTCCCAGCTCTCAGCGGGGGCGGCCAACAACTGCGCTGTAATTCCCTCCTCTGGCCACCAGAGGGCGCCGTGGAGCCAGCCCTGAGATTCCCAGGGTGGCTCTGGGTGGCAGAGAAGGACCATGAGGCCCTGGGGGGCAGCTGCTCCTTGCCACTCAGCCACCCATTCCGATAGTCTCTGCTTTAGAATAGACATTATATATTAGATACTTCATCTGCAATACAACTCTCTCTTATAGCATCGGTGACATTAGTGTCCCCAAAAAAGGCAGCCTCTTTTCTGAGGGGGGAGGGGTACCAGGGATGGAACCCAGGGGGGCTTTAACCCCTGAGCCCCGTCCCCAGCCCTTTTTCTATTTTATTTAGAGACAGGGTCTCGCTGAGTTGCTTAGGGCCTCGCTTTGGCTGAGGCTGGCCTCCACCTTGTGATCCTCCTGCCTCAGCCTCCCGAGGCACTGGGATGACAGGTGGGCCCCTGGGCCTAGAGCTAAGGCAGCCTTTTGTTTTTTTTTTTAGATATCTACAGCACTCAGAGGGGGACCGAGCCTCCCCTGGCAGAGGGAAAGGGGTGCGGGCAGAAGAGCCTCGGTCCATGGCTCAGGGACCTTCCGAGGCCACAGGCTACACTGCTGCTTCCTGAAGATTGACCTTGGATTGTAAATCAGCTGGCAAGGTCACGGGTGGCTGCTCATGTGGAGGAAGTGCCAGTCATTTGCTGAGCCTTGGAAGGGCACGTGAGTCTGCCCCAGGAGCTGGCCTGGGTGGGGACACAGGCCACATCGTCACACACCAGAGAAAGGCCACAGAGTCATGGCTGGTCAGAGAGGGCCACTGGGCGGGAGCTTGAGTAGGGGCCAGGGGTGGACACTTCTCCGATTATTGCATCTGGTTTCCTGGGTCACCAGGGATCCCTGGGAACCTCTAGGAGCCGGGAGAGGCGGGCAGAGTCCCTGCATATTTAATTAATTATTATTATTATTATTATTATTATTTTTTTTTTGGTCCCAGGGATGGAACCCAGGGGCACTTAACCCCTGAGCCCTGTCCCCAGCCCTTTTTATATTTTTTTTAGAGACAGGGTCTCACTGAGTCGCTCAGGGCCTTGCTAAGTGGCTGAGGCTGGCCTCCAACTTGCGATCCTCCTGCCTCAGCCTCCGGAGTGGCTAGGATTATAGGCGTGCGCCACCACGCGGGGCCCTGCTTATTTAAGAAAAAAAAAATTTAATAGAGTCCCTCTGTGGGAATTACCTGTCACCCTTCTCTTTCTCATTATTACTATTATTATATATATATATATATATTTTTTTTTTGCATAGTGTCTACCCTTTAGGGTAGTTCCAGTGCCTTGTAACCTTATATATGACATAAATTTATTTTTTTTTAAAGTTAACTGCGCCAGGGGTCCCTCCAATTTGGCGATTGGTTGGTTTTTAAGCCACTCTGAAGTAGCCAGCTCTGAGCTCCCTCTGCCCGCTTCCCCCAGGCCATGAGCTGGTCCCTTGGCCAGTGCATTCAGGGCGGGGACCCTCTGGGGACCCCTCTGGGGACAGCCATGGTTATCCTTTGGGAGACCCACATGTTGATTTCATGGAAGACGGAGTTGGTCACTTCCGGAAGCTCTTTGTGGAGGACGTGGTAGGCACCTTCGTAAATCTGCCGTCAGAGGAGACACAGGGGGGGTCAGGGCTACGTCATCAGAAGAAGTGGCAGGTTGTGGGGGTGGGGAGTGGACACAGGGGACAGGAGTGGGCAGTGTCCTTAGGGCCAGCTCCCTGTGCCTGGAGCATCTGGCTTTCACTCCCCACCCCCCACCTTTTTTTGAGAGGGAGGGCAGGGTAGGGGACAGGGCCCTGCTAAGCTATGGAGGCTGGCCTCCAATTTGCGATCCTCCTGCCTCAGCCTCCCAAGTCGTTGGGATGATAGGCGGGCACCACGGCACCGCCGGTGGGGAGGCAGGACCTGTCAGCCGGAATGTCCCCCCGGAGCTGGGATCTGCCCCACTGGTTTCTGGGTCATGTGTCCTGGGGGCTCAGCAGGGGCTCCACTCCTCATCTGGGAGCTTCCTTCCAGTTCAGTCAAATAAAACTAGCACATCTGTGTCCCCACCTTGAGAGTCTGTCCGAGGCAGCCAGGGCTGTCTCTTGGGTCTAACAGGCCACATAGCCAAGCCTCAGGGCCTGTCCCTGGGAGGTCCCTCGTCCACCCGCAGGGCCACCTCCTGCAGACTGTCAAGTGCCCCAGCATCTCTGTGACTATGTCTCTGGCTGCTGCTGGGCCTGGGGTTGCTGAGGCTGGCACCCAGGGAGGTTGGGGACCATGCATGTCATTGGAACTTGGAAGGGACATTCTCTCTGGACACTGTATTTGTTCAGCAAACAAACAGTGGCAGGATCCAGGTCCTCCCACAGCTCTCCAGGATCTGATTAGACACACCCACAGGGAAGCCCGCCTCCTGCCACGCCCCAGGGCGGGGCTATGGTGTGGGCGGGGCTACACTGTGGGTGTGGCTAAACTGGGACAGGGCTATGCTGTGGGTGGAGTTATGCTGTGGGGCGGGGCTATGATATGGGGTGGGGTTATGATGTGGATGTGGCTAGGTGGTGTGGTGAGGCTACACTGTGGGTGGAGCTAGGCTGTGGGTGTGGCTAAACTGTGGGACAGGGCTATGCTGTGGGTGGGGTTATGCTGTGGGCAGGGCTATGCTGTAGGTGTGGCTAAATTGAGGGACAGGGCTATGCTGTGGGTGGGGTTATGATTGGGGTGGGGCTATGATGTGGGTGTGGCTAGGTGGTGTGGTGAGGCTACACTGTGGGTGGAGCTATGCTGTGGGTGTGGCTAAACTGTGGGACAGGGCTATGCTGTGGGGCTGGGCTACAATAGGGGGTGGGGCTATGAGGTGGGTGTGGCTAGATGGTGGGGCGGGGCTATACTGTGGGCAGGGCTATACTGTGGGTGTGGCTAAACTGGGACAGGGCTATGCTGTGGGGCGGGGCTATGATATGGGGTGGGGCTATGATATGGGGTGGGGCTATGATGTGGGTGTGACTAGGTGGTGGGGCGGGGCTATGCCATGGGCGGGGTAGGTTGTGAGTGTGGCTCAACTGTGGGACAAGGCTATGCTGTGAGTGGGGGTGGGGCTATGATGTGGGTGTGGCTAGGTGGCGGGGAGGGGCTACACGGTGGGCGGGGGCACAGTGTGGGCGGGGCTACAGGCTACACTGTAGGCGGGGCGGGGCCGGGCAGCCGCTCACCTTGAGAGTCTTGTCCTGGCTCTTGGCTGACTCCATGAGCAGGTAGGCCCCTTTGCTGTCACACAGGCGGTCTGCGGAGCCCTGGAGCAGCAGGAAGGGCAAGGTCAGCTTGGGGAGGGCTCGCTCCACCCGCGAGACAGCGTTGAGTAGTTGGATCCCAAAGCACACTTTCAGCCCCGCCCGGCAGATGAGAGGGTCCGAGTTGTAAAGCTCAACCTGGAGGAGGGGGGACCAAAACGAAAAGAAAAAGTCACCACCAGGGCAGGCCGGGGCTCACCCTTGCTAGGCTCAGATCATTTGTTTTTTTCTTTTTTGGTGTCGGAGAAAACCTCCGGGGTGCTTAACCCCTGAGCCACATCCCCAGCCCTTTTCATGTTTTATTTAGAGACAGGATGTCACTGAGTTGCTAAGTGGCTGAGGCTGGCCTCCACCTGACGATCCTCCTGCCTCAGCCTCCTGAGCTGCTGGGATGACAGGTGTGCACCCCCACACCCAGCCTCAGCAAGTCATTGCCCCGATATGTGGCCTGAGATGGGACATCTGCCCTACAGAATCTGGGTGAGAAGGCTCTAGAAGTGTCTCAAGCCCTGATGGGTAGGCGTGAGGCCCCAGTGCCCCTTTGCTTACTTTCCCCAGGGCAGGCTGGAGATCTGCCCTGTGGTGTGGACAGGGTTGGGGCAGAGGGCAGCCCCAGGAGACCCCAGGCCACCACTGGACTGGGACTCAGGCTCTCGACGGCCACACCCCCCCTTGTGTCACCACCCCTTGCAGGGCCTGGGCCAGAATTCCAGATCCAGGCCAAGAGGGGACCGGCTGTCCTGTGGTCACCCCTGCCATCCTGGATTCCGTCCCATGCCAGAGACTGAGCATCGCCGAGCGGACCATTGGTGAAAAGCCACCCGAGTCGGATTAGCCAGTTCCTGCAGCTGAGTGTGTGACTCCCAGCAGCCAAGGCCATCTGTTTGGCAGGCTGTGCTGGGCGGGAGTGGGTCATGGACCTCGGCTGCAGTGCAAAAGCAGCCCACCAGGGAGGAGAGCTGTAGGGCCACAGAGGAGCCCTGGTCTCAGGATTGCCCAAGTCCTGATGCCTACAGTGATAGCAACGAGAACACCCTGTGCCCAGCCCGGGGCCAGGACAGTGGGTCAGGGACCTGTTGAGTAATAAAAATAAGAACAGCTTTAAAAACAAAACAAAACAAAAAAAAGTCTAGTTACACCCGAGCTCTTACAAAATGCTCAGCCCTAATGTTTGTCTATATAATATCTAATAACGAATTTAACCTCCGTAACTACCTTGACCGAGGCACAGCTATTATTGTTGTTGTTGGTATCAGAGATTGAGCCCAGGGGTGCTTCGCCCCTGAGCCCCGTCCCCAGCCCCTTTTTCTATTTTATTTAGAGACAGGGTCTCGCTGAGTTGCTTAGGCCCTTTCTAAGTGGCTGAGGCTGGCCTCCAACTTGCAATCCTCCTGCCTCAGCCTCCCTCAAGCCGCTGGGATGACAGGCGTGTGCCACCGCACCTGGCTTATTATTCAATTTTTGCACATAAGGAAATTCAGGCAGAGAGAAGTTTAATAACCCCCCTGTTATGAGTTACCCCAATCCCTGTTTTGTCCTCTAGAACTTTTGATTTTCAGCTGGGTCCACAACTCCCCCAATGGAAGACTACATTCCCCAGCATCCCTTGCAGCAGGGCATGGTCACATGACCATGCTCCAACCAATAGGAGAAGAACAGGAGAGCTGCTGGTACCCTCTGGGTCCAAAGCTGGCCCTGCCTGTGGGTCCTTTAGGGAGGGAGTTGGGCCGTGTGGACCCAGGCTGGGGACACACTTGGACGTGTTGAGCTACAGGATGGGTCCCCTGGTGCTCAGAAGTCACCTGCCAGAGAACTAAGCCCTTTCCTATTCAAGGCACTGTAGTTTGGGGTCCCAGGTCCAGCAGGGTGGCCATGCCCTGGCCAGCTCCCCCCCCATCTTGCTGTGTCCACATCCGGGCTCCTCCAGGGCCCTTGGGGGCTCCACCCGCGCCTGCTGTGAGTCTCGGCCATAGGTCGGGTGTCCTGTGTCCATTTCCTGAAACTGGCCTGAGACTCTGCCCTGCTTGGAGTCCCCCCCAGCGCACCGGCCCCTTGGGGACTCTGCTCCAGGGCTGAATGGCTCTGGCGGCCCAGTGGCTTCCTGCCCTTGGCTTCCTTTCCCATGTCACGTAGACCCTGTTTACACTGCGGCCTGTTCTGGGCCTGGGGAAGGAGCTGCCAGATGTGTGGGGGAAAGGGCAGGCCCCAGAAGGAGGGGAAAGGCCAGGGCCCAGGCCCTCCCTTCCAGATAGTGGCCATGCCAGCCCCATCCCAGCAGCCCTTGAGCATTTAAAATCAAAATCCACCTGAGGCCAGGTGCCCTGGAGCACGCCTATAATCCTGGCAGCTCGGGAGGCCAAGGCAGGAGGATCGCAAGGTGGAGGCCGGCCTCAGCCACTTAGGCACCAGGCAGCTCAGCGAGACTCTGTCTCTAAATAAAATACAAAACAGGGCTGGGGTCGGGGCTGCGAGGCCCAAGGCCTCTGGGTTCAGTCCCCAGTACCACCACACGTGCCCCCCACCCCCCCAAAAGAAAGGCAAGATCAGAAAAGGTCATAGAGAGACACAAAGAGGCAGAGCTGGGTCCCTCTGAGTCACAGATGTCAACGGACTTGACTGGCAGGAACAAAAGGGGCCCTCATCGGGCGTCCCCAGCCCTCCTGAGACTTTGCTGACTGGGTGCCCACCCACAGGGTGGCAGGGGCGAGATAAAGACTTGGCCTGACTCGGCAGAAACGCCCAGGTCCCTGTTTACCAGGAGCCCGGAGCCCCGTGTTGACATCTCGCTGTCCCCGCGGCCAGCTGCAGTGGACGCCCAGCCGCAGGGGTCGAAATTCCTGAGTCAGACCAGAAGGGTTGGGAAGCAGGATGTCACCTTCCCGTCTGCCCTCTGCTGGCGACGGTCTCCTTCTGGATAGGAGAGGGTGTCCCCGGGTGGGCCTCTACTCCCCAGTGGCATGTGACTGACTGAATGAGCACTCTTGCCTCCAAGTGACTTTGTGTTATCCCAAGTTGGGGGCTCTGGGACTTCCTGGGGGACAGGCTGTTTGCATAAACCCACTGCAACTTCTGGGGATTCCTTCTAGAAGGCGCTTCAAAAGCAGAAAAAAAAAAGAATAATCTGATAACTTGATTCTATAGACTATATCAAAACACCACAAGGTACCCCAAGACATGTACAATTTGGGGGGTGTCCTAGGAATAGAACCCAGAATTACTGTACCCCTGAGCTCCATCCCCAGCCTTTTAAAATTTTATTTATTTATCTTTTTGGAAACAGGATTTTGCTAAATTGTTGAGGCCGGCCTCCCATTTGTGATCCTCCTGTCTCAGCCTCCTGAGTGGGTGGGAGTCCTGAGATCAAACGGTGGGTGACCACCATGGAGACTAGAGCAAGAACCGAGCCAAAGAGGGTGACAAGGAAGCATGGTCGCTTGTCCTGACCGTGACAGTGGGTCTGGCCTTACATGTGTGTCCCTGCCCTGTCTCCCTCCTGAAGTATTGGGATTATTCAGGATCCTGGTGCCGGCTACTTACTTTTTTGCTTAATTAAAGTAACTGATTAATTAATATTTGGTGACCAGGATGAAACCCAGGGGTGCTCTACCACTGAGCTTCATCTCCAGCCCCTTTTATTAGTTCTTCAAAAATGGCTTAAAAGTTGCTTAGCGCCTAAGTTGCCGAGGCTGGCCTCGAACTCACGATCCTCCTGCCTCGGCCTCCCAAATTGCTGGGATTACATGCAGGCACCACCACCACCACACACCCAGCTTCAAAGGACATCCCAGCAGCTGGGGAGGCTGAGGCAGGAGGATCGCCGGTTGGAGGCCAGCCTCAGCCACTTAGCAAGTCCCTGTCTCAAAAAAATAAAAATGGGGTGGGGACGGGGCTCCATGGTCGAGCACCCCTGGGTTCAATTCCATGCCTCTCCTGGGTTCAGAGAATGGTTCTCTCAGCTCTGCCTCGGTGACAGTGACAGAGGCCTGGGGACAGTGACAGAGGCCTGATCCTTGATTCTGGAAGCGTCTGCAGTATCGGTGGGGCTGAGCCGGTCCCCACCTATGCACATGGAGGGAGGCGGAGGGGGGCTTCTCTCAGCTGCTGGGCTTCCAGAACTTTCCATCTGGCCGGCCTGGGTGACCGTAGCTGTGACAGAAGGCAGGGCCAGGGCCTCTCCGGGTGTTTAGAGAACAGAGATTTGGTCCTGGGCACAAATCGCCTCCATCTGTAAATGGTAGATGTCCCCAGGGCCACGTGTGCTCAAAATGGGGGTCTCTCTCTTCCCGTTTCTACCCAGGGCCAGGGGGCGGGGACAGGGATGGGGGCAGTTCATTCCACTTGACATTGGGCGGCGACCAAGGATTTGAAGGCGTCCCAGGCCAGAGAACTAGCTGGAATGGCATTCGAGGATTTTCAAGGTGGGAGGGAATTCGATACAGCGTGAAAAACCCCATTGTTAGCAGCGGAATGATTAAGATGTCAGGAGCCTTATTTTTTATTTTATTTTATTTTTTTAATTTTTGGTGCCAGGGACTGAACCCAGGGGCACTTGACCTCGGAGCCCCATCCCCAGCCCTTTTTTGGTATTTTATTTAGAGACAGGATCTCGCTGAGTGGCTGAGGGCTTTGCTAAGTGGCTGAGGCTGGCCTCCAAACTCATGATCCTCCTGCCTCAGCCTCCCAATCCACTGGGCTGTCTGTCGTCTTTAATTTCTGATTAGGGAACCCTAGAACAAGGGCCCGAACAGTGACCTCTTGTTTCCCAGAGCTGCCCAAGAGCATTGGGCCCTGAGGAGACAGACCCAGGCTCCCATCCTTACTTAGCTGCTGTGTGTTTTTGGGGAGGGTGACTTGCCCTCTCTGGGCCCGAGCTTCCACATCTGCAAAGAAGAATCCAAAGGCTGACTTCGGCAGGTTCTGAGGGGACCCCAAAGGCTACAGTGTCTTGCATGGAAGAAGAAGGATGCCATTGATTGTCCCCTGGGTGGTGTTGGGACAATAAGAAGGTATACCCGCCTCCCACGGAGACGGTCAGCCGGGGGCTCCTTGTAACAGGAGGATCAAACACACCAGCAGGAAAAGAGGCATCCAGGAGCAGGCCTGTCCATCCAATGAGCTCAAATCTCCACCCTTGCCCTCTGGCTGGCTGTGCCACCTTTGATAGGTGACTTGACCTCTCTGGGCCTCCATTTTTCTCATCTGTGAAATGGGGGGAAGGCAGCTCCCCCGCCTGTCGGGATCCAATCAGACTCCACGTTGGGATTCCCTCTTTCTGGAACTTGAGGTTCTGCCTTTTTCCACGGGGAGATTCTGCTTTTCAGAATGATTTTTTCCCCCTTTGTTCAAATGGTCATTCAGAAAGGTCCTAGGTCTGCGGCCGCTCGAGGCTGGCCTCTGGTGAGGGAGACTGGCCCCGGGTGCCATTCTGCTGAGGCTGGCCTCCAGCTTGCGATCCTCCCCCTCATGCCCCACTCCTTTTCCTGGACACAATAACCTGCTCTTGGACAACCAGCCAATGAGAATCACCCCCTGAAGCCAGGTGTGGGGGCCCACACCTGTCACCCCAGGGACTCGGGAGGCTGAGGCAGGAGGATGGCGATTTCGAGGCCAAGCCTCAGCCATTTAGCAAGGCCCTAAGCATCTTAGAGAGACCCTGTCTGCAATTAAAAACTAATTTTTTCCAAGGGCTGGGGATGTGGCTCTGGTGGTAAAGTAACCCTGGGCTAGATCCCCAATTTAAAAAAAAAAAAAAAATCCCTGAGACTTTTGTTGAAAAGAGACACTGGTTTTTTGACGGAGGTTGCTCGGGTACAATTGCCAGTGGCCACCTTTCCTTCCATTTAGGAAAAGCCTTTCTGGGAATGAAGCCAGACCAGGGTGGGATGAGAATTGGGGAGAACCAAGGTGGTGAATAGGATTTTGGATCTCCTGGATACAGCCATGCCTGAAGCCCTTAGTTCTCTTTTTCAATCAATCCTTCCTTTGGCTTCAGTGACAGAGCAGCAGAATGCTAAGGATGGACCCAAACTTGGATTTCTCCAGGGTGAGGGGTTGCTGCCTTCACCTCTAGTTACACCGACCCCAAGTTACCCCCCCCCCCCCGATTTTCCGAAAGACTCACCTCTGTCTTGTTCCGGGAGAGGACGCTGGAATCGATGGGCCCCAGGGACATGTTTGGCAGGACAAGGTTGAGCACTTTCGCAGCGAGGACCTAGGCGGGGAGGCGAAACATGAGTCCCATGTGGCATCGACGCCCCCCTCTTCCTGAGGGACAGGCTACAAGTCCCATTAAGGACCGCGAGACCCAAATTGCACATCAGCCTCCGCCGATCTCCAGAGTCTCCACCCTGGACTCTGTGGGGTGGCTTTTCCCACAAGTCGCTCGTTGGCTGCGACCTTGAATGATTTGCTGCACCCCAGTCCCTTTTGGGGGGGGGTCCCACAAATACCCAGCAGGGACAGAGGCATCCAGATCAATTGGGGACGGATGAAAACAGGGGTTGGTGACCCCTGTATGCACAAGCCCAGGCACACAGTCGGTGCTTCCTATATGCTCACTGAACTTGAACCTGACTCGGGTCCAAGTCCCCCTCTCCTCCCCCATCTCTCTCTCTCCTTTGGGGATCTCGAGTGTCCCCAGGGGCAAAGAGCCCGGGTCTCACACCGTCTGCCTGCAGAGAGGACAGTTCCCATCCTCGGTGACACTTGGGGAAGGGGAGGGGCTGTTTCAAAAGTGAGGTGCCATATGCCGGAATTGGAGTCCGAGGGAAGGTGGGAGCCACGGGCAGCGCTGGAGACGCAGCAGGGAGCAGGGCCGCGGCGGGCAGTGCGCATGTGCGTCTTGGAACCAGCTTGCACGGGCCTGTCGCCTGTCCTAGCAGGCACCCTAACCTCACGTCAGACTCAGGTGGCCTCCCCCTGCCACTGAGGATGCTGAACCTCCCTGCACCCCAACGGTGCGGTGGTGCAGGCCTGTCATCCCAGTGGCTTGGGAGGCTGAGGCAGGAGGATCCCAAGTCGGAGGCCAGCCTCAGCAAAAGCAAGGCGCTCAGCAACTCAGAGAGACTCTGTCTCTAAATAAAATACAAAATAGGGCTTGGGGGGTGGCTCAGTGGTTCAGCGCCCCTGAGTTCAATCTCTGGGAACAACAACAACAAAAAAGATTTGGATCTTTGTCAACGTGGACGGGACATCTCTGAATTCACAGAACCAGATGCTCCTTGGAGAACCTAGATTCTGGAGGTGGGAATGGGCAAAAGATCTAAATTCAGGGCACTTTCAAAAGGTAAAAGATCTAAAAATGAAGAAAACAAAACAGCAGGTCATTGCAGAGAGTGAACAGACCCCCTGTAACCTTAATTAGTCTCCGACTGCATACAGGTGGACCTTCTGGGGAACTGTGTGTCTTCTGGGGCCTCATTATTGGGAGAGAATTGAGGATATGTTTTTTTCTAGCACTGGACTCAGGAAGGCCACAGGAGATTGGGGTGACCGATAGCCAGATGCCAGGCTCCCAGACACTGACCCCTGTCTGGCCAATCTGAGCCAGGAGAAGGCTGAGCGCAGGACTGACCGCCTCAGCCCTGACCCCGCGACAGAGGAGGAGCGGAGAGAGACCGGGCAGCGCCTGCTCCACTTTATCGGTCCCACCACCAGATCCCTCCTTTGCCAGCCGGCCCCGATTTTGAAGCCCGTCACCTGATTTTTTGCAAGGACCCGGGCACGGGAATCCTGGTCCATCTTTACAATTTGGTCATTTGCAAAAGAGACACACTTACCTTCACCCTTGAACCTAGGTCCCTGCTGGGGGCACCACTCAAGCCAAAATGTCTATGCCCCAAAGTGCCAAGACCTCACAATGCGGGCTCTCATTGAAGGGATGACATTCTAGACAGTTGGCTTTTAAGAAAACGAGTTCTTGCCAGATGTGGAGACGCACACCCATGATCTCAGCCGCTCAGGAGGCCGAGGCAGGAGGATTGCAAGGTGGAGGCCAGCCTCGGCCACTGAGCAAGGCCCTGAGCAACTCAACGAGACCCTGTCTCTAAATAAAATAGAAAAAGGGGCTGGGGATGGGGCTCAGGGGTGAAGCACCCCAGGGTTCAATCCCTGGTACCCCAAAATAAAACCCCAAGCCAGAGTGGAGAGCAGGGAAGGGTGTGGAGGCCAGGAGTTGAGGACGGCAGCACCTCCACCCAGAGAGAGAGCGAGCGAGCACCGTGGAGGTCGACCAGATGGCCACTGCTCTCTGCCCTCCTTGGGGGGAAAAAAAAATCTCCCAGAGTGTCCATCCCTGATTGTGAGAGCCCCATCACCGCTTCCCAAGAGAAGGTTCCGGAAGCCTGACCAGGGTATTGCTCACCCATAAGAAAAGTGGGATCCAAACCATTACCAATCTCGATGTGTTTTCCACCAAGTCTGTGAATATCTTCGGGTGATCCTGTGGGGGGCGGAGAGCGCCTTGGGCCCAGCTCAGGAGAAAAGGTCCCCGGACGGGCCCCATGGCTGACATGAGGTCCCCACCATCCCCCGGACCCCGACAGACAGGTGAGGTCAGGTCTGGTGCAGCCACAGGGAGGGTGTCCAGGTAGTAGCCACCCCCCAACCGGACGAGCAGGCGGTGCGATGGGATGGACGGTCAGACTCGGAGGCCAGGAGGGTGGACCTGGCTCTGTGTCCACGAGGGTGCCTCTGTCCCTCGGTCTCCTCGTCTATACAATGGGGCTCATCCAACCAGCCTCGAATGAGGGCTGGGCCTACTGCCCACGGCGCTCTCCCCGACTCCCTTTCCGGCTCCTGACCCTGAGAAGAACAGCTCAGAGACTTTCTTGTTGGTCGACTGAACAAGTGAGCGCAGTGCTCAAGTGGACGCTCCTGGTCCTGGGAACACGAGAGACACCCCCTTACTGGTCCCAGAGTTTTCATGGCGCCCACCACTCAGGCTTCTGCCCGCAGAGGCCTCACCAGGAGGACGGGATTGCCACGGCCTTCTCCTAAGGAGGTTCTGCAAAACCGACCTGCGCAGAGAAGGCCGGGTCTTCACGCCTTTTATGGGGACAGCGTCATGACCAGGGCCACCCGTGATGCGGCAGGACCCTGCGAGGCTCAAGTCAGACTGACTCTCTTTTCTTTTCTTGGTCCCAGGGATTGAACCCAGGGACACTTGACCCCTGAGCCCCGTCCGTCCCCAACCCAAAAGGTTGTTATTTAGAGACAGGGTCTCGCTGAGTTGCTGAGGCTGGTCTCCATCTTGCGATCCTCCTGCCTCAGCCTCCCCAGCTGCTGGGATGGCAGGTGTGACCACTGCGCCTGGCAGGATTTTCCTCAGGTAAAACTACGCCTGACGCCTCCCCGGGAAGGACTGGGCACTCGTTCCAAGATGTAGGACAAGGGGTCACTACACCGTTGACTTTCTGGGTCGCGATGATGGAACCACAGACGTCTAGCGACCGAGCGCAGAGGACCGCCGCTCATGGCTGTTGCTAGATGGGCTCCCGAGGAACTTCCTGATCGGGGGCCTAAACATGGAGGTGCGCCTGAGGAACTTCCTGTTTGGTGGCCTAAACATGGACGTGCGCCTGGGGAACTTCCTGATCCAGGGCCTCAACATGGACGTGCGCCTGAAGAACTTCCTGATGGGGCCTAAACATGGATGTGCACCTGAGGAACTTCCTGATGGGGGCCTAAACATGGAGGTGCACCTGAGGAACTTCCTGATCCAGGGCCTAAACATGGACGTGCACCTGAGGAACTTCCTGATCCGGGGCCTAAACATGGAGGTGCGCCTGAGGAACTTCCTGTCTGGGGGCCTAAACATGGACGTGAACCTGAAGAACTTCCTGATCCGGGGCCTAAACATGGACGTGCGCCTGGGGAACTTCCTGATCCGGGGCCTAAACGTGCACGTGCGCCTGGGGAACTTCCTGATCCGGGGCCTAAACATGGACGTGCACCTGGGGAACTTCCTGATGGGGGCCTAAACATGGACGTGCGCCTGGGGAACTTCCTGATCCGGGGCCTAAACATGGACGTGCGCCTGAAGAACTTCCTGATCCGGGGCCTAAACATGGACGTGCGCCTGGGGAACTTCCTGATCCGGGGCCTAAACATGGACGTGCGCCCAGCCTGGCTGGGGACGGGGACATCTTGACGCTGGCTGCCCCAGATCCTCAGGGACCTCATGGGGGGACAGTGGTTGACCTGATTCTCCTCTGGCCGCTGACCCTCAGCCCCCGGGGTCTGCCCAGGGAGGTTCAGGGGGCCCCTGTGACCTGCTGCTCGTTATCCACCGACGTCCTGGGCGAGCCCAGGTCAGGACTGTGAGGGACATCTCGTGGATGGACAGCCGGCGGGGACTTCGCCTCTGTCCCCAGGCCTCGGACACCGGATGATCCCTCCCAGAGACAGAAAATCACCCCACACCGCCCAGGACTTGCTTTAGAGCTTTTGCTTCTGAAATTTTCAGAAAAAAAAAAAAATTTCCAGAAATTTTTGCTGCCACCTTCTTTGTGAAGCCAGTTTTTCAACAGGGACAATATTCCAGGGACCCGAGTCCCTGTCCTCATTGTCTCTTCTTCTGGGCTAAATATAGCTCAGCTTGTTGTTGAAAAAGGAGGCTCCGTGTAAGAACCAGATGGTGGTGCGATTTGGGGGGTTGGGGGCGATCAGGAGCCCTGTTCCAGGGGGACGGGGCTGGCCATTTTCCACGTGGCTCTCTGTTCTCTGACTGGGTGTCTGGAGTTGCCCACCTCGAATAACTGGGGCTCGGGAGGCTGAGGCAGGAGGATCGCAAGTTGGAGGCCAGCCTCTACAACTTAGCCAGGCCCTGAGCAGCTCAGTGAGACCCTGTCTCTAAATACAATAGAAAAAGGGCTGGGGACGGGGTTCAGGGCTTCAGCACCCCTGGGTTCAGTCCCTGGTATATATATATTTAAAAAATAAAAAAAATAAACATGGGGACTTGCCCACGTAGGCCAGCCACGTCCCCAGGCCTTTTTTACTTTTTATGTTGAGACAGGGTCTTGCTAAGTGGCGGAGGCTGGCCTCCAACCTGCGATCCTCCTGCCTCAGCCTCCTGAGCTGCTGGGATGACAGGCGTGGGCCCCTGGGCCTGGCTAAACCAATTATTCTCCAAACTTTTAAAATTCATATTTAACAAAAAAGAGCGAGATTCTGAAGACCAGAGCGTGTATCCAGGGCATCCACATCCCCTCGTCCCGGGGACGGGCTAGACCAATGAATCTGACACTGTCCGTCACAATTGCCAAAGACCAGCAGCAGCAACAGATTTCTGGGGTGGGGTGGCGGGGAGAGGAGGGCCATCAGGTCCAGGGCGAAGAGAAATCTCATTTGTCCTGGTTAATCAGAGGAGACCCCTGGTTCCCCGGGGAAAGCCGGCTCCTGATTTGACAAGGTGATCTATTAGCGCGAGTCTCTGAGAGGTCACAGTGCTGGCTCTGCCCAGAAGTGTCACTTCTGCGGGTCAGTGCCTGAGGTCCCATGGGAGGCTGGGAGGGAACCTCAGTGCCATAGTCTCTCTGCTACCCCTTCCGTGAAGAGCCCTCTGGTCCTGGCTTTTCTCCAGGGGAGAAACATCCATTTTCTTCTATGTAGGAGGGGAGACCTCCTAACAAGGGGATGGTCAGCCTCCACCCCCCAGCCTCAAATTCCAAACCAGCCAGGGAGGGTCCTGGACACTCCCTTGCCTTTCCCAGCCCTAAAACACTGTCCAGGATCTTGGCACAGAATGCACTTGGCATGCCGTGAGCTTCACCATTCTTCCAAAACCCAAATCAGGGGCGCAGTGGCCCACGCCTGTCATCCCAGCCGCTCGGGAGGCTGAGGCAGGAGGATCGCAAGTTGGAGGCCAGCCTCAGCCACTTAGGCCCTGAGCAACTCAGCGAGACCCTGTCTCTAAATAAAAAAAAAAAAATTAAAAAAGGGCTGGGGACGGGGGCTCCGGGGTGAAGCACCCCCTGAGTTCAGACCCTAGTACCAGAAAAGTAAAAATAAAAATCACATGAAATAGGATGGAACTCGCTCTCCCTCTGCTGTGGTCCCCATCTTATCCCATTGAGATAAGAAGCCTGGGATGATCGGGCGTCCTGTAGCTTAATCACAGTCATTATGGGAAGTGTCAAGCAAGGCGCGCGTCCCTTGTGCATTTCAATGATGAAGTGCTCTGGGGGTGCATTAGCGGTGGAGCCCAGGGACCCCGGTGACGGGCCTCCACTGCTACTGAGAGAGACTCAGCCAGCAGCGGTGACGTCCTTCAAATGGGCTCAAAATTCAGTGTGAATCAAGTGCCTCGTTCTCTGGTTGAACTGTCAGTTTCCAGGGCTCCCTTCGGCCCAACCCATTCCCATTTTAGATGGCTGAGGTCCTCTGTGACCAATGGGAACCTGACCCTGCCTCTAGGGGTGGCAGGATCAGGCCTGTGGATGTGGATTAGAAAATAAAAACTATATATATATATATATTTTTTGGTACCAGGGACTGAACCCAGGGACACTTAACCCCTGAGTCCCATCCCCAGCCCTTTTTCTATTTTATTTAGAGACAGGGTCTCGCTGAGTGGCTCAGGGCCTCGCTCTGTGGCTGAGGCTGGCCTCCGACTTGTGATCCTCCTGCCTCGGCCTCCCGAGCTGCTGGGATCAAGCGGCCCCGCGGAGAGGGGACTGGTTTCCTCTCCTTCCCCAGAAGGCAGGTGATGTCCTATGCCTTGTCCAGAGAATCCCGGCGACCCCAGCCCCCCGCCCTGCACGTGCTAATCCCCAATGAACCCATTAGAGTCATTAGGGACAGAGAGGAACTAGAGAGAACAGACACCCTTCTCGGTGGCCATTAGCAATCGCTGAGAGTTGCCCTCGCTGTGCATTTTCTGTCCAAGTGGGTGAAGGTTCTGTTCCAAAAAAAAAATAATAATAAAAATAGCTCAAGCCTTGCCTTTGAGTGACGGCAAGCCGACGTCCCTTTGGGGACAGATGACACACAGAAGCCCATTCTCCTTTGCAACTTGGCAGAAAGAACCGGCGCAGAGCAGGAAAGGTCTCTCTCTCTCTCCTTTGTTTTTGGGGGAAACGCAGCAGCTGACTTTAGAGGTTATAGGTCCCCAGGGGCACGAGGATCTTTGTGCACACTTTGGCACCTTCGCGTGTGAAGCCTGAGGACGAGTGGCCCTTGGCCCTGTGACCCAGCCTCTAGCTCTAAATGCACAGGACGGCATGCACGTCCCGGGGGACCGCGGGGGCCCGCACACACACCCCCCAGAAAGTCCTTTACCTTGAAAGTCGACGCAGACTCGGGATTGGCCAAAACCAGGGGTGAGATGAGGACCATCCCGGAGAAGTGGCCCGGCCTCTCTGCTGCTGTGAGGATCACAATGGCGCCTCCCTGAAAAGCCAAAGTGGCAGAGACAGGGTCTCGCTGAGTTGCTCAGGGGCTAAGTGGCTGAGGCTGGCCTCCAACTTGCGATCCTCCTGCCTCAGCCTCCAGGAGCTGCTGGGGTGACAGGGGTGGTGAGCCTCTCATCAGGGGCTGGGTCTGCTTACCATGGAGTGGCCCAGGAGGAAGACAGGGAGGCTGGGGTAGTCCTTCTGCATGCCATCCACGTGCTGTAGCACGTCCCTGACGAAAACATGGAAGTCAGACACCACCATCCTCTCCCCTTCGCTCTGCCCGTGGCCGACTGCAGAAGGAGCCAGAGAGAAAAGAAAGCCCGCTGAGTCCTTGAACCCATCAACACATCATCTCATTTAACCAATTCCCAATTTTTTTCAATATATCATCTCATTTAACAGATCCCCCCCCCCCAGGATCAAACCCAAGCTTCTTGGCTACTTCTTCTTCTTCTTCTTCTTCTTCTTCTTCTTCTTCTTATTATTATTATTATTATTATTATTATTATTATTATTATTTTGGTGAGACAAGGTCTCACCAAGTTCCTGAAGCTGCCTCAGATCCTTTGGGAACATTGGAATTCTTCTCCCTCTCTGGGCCTTGGACAGATTGGGAAACCCAAAGCACAGAGAGGTTAAGGAACTTGCCCAAGATCACACAGCTACCGCGTCACCAGGGTGTGAGGACTGCAAAAGCCCCCCTCACCTAGCCACCCTATCTTCCTCAGTGAGTGACACTTTTGAAGGACGAAGGAAAGGACAGACAGACACAGTCTCAACCTGCCCAGTTTTCTGCAAAACTACCTGAGCCTCAGCATGTCCCCCGGGGCAGGGGGTGGGGGGAAGAGCCCCCATAGAATGGGGACCCCGGTGGGGGGGGTCAGGAGGACGCGGACCTCGCCTTCCTGCTGGGAACTTGGGGCGGATCATTAAGTCTCCCGTGGCCTCTACGCGGAGGCTGTGCCATGGTCAGGACGTAGCGCTCCTTCTGCAACAGCCAGGGGCACGGGGTCGCCCTGCGTGGACTGACAGACCCCTCTCAGCAGCCCCCTGTGCTCAGACCCCAAGCACCTCTTTCCCACCAGCCTGTCCCCCAGGAACCCCCAGCCTCCCCCTCTGCCCAGCTCACCTGTCTCCCTGCCCGCCCCCCCGGTCCTCCCAGCTCCACCACATTCTTAGCCAAACCTCGGGTTCTCTCTCCTGTGAGGGTTTTATTTCTGCTTTTCAAAACATATTACTAAGTCGGGTGCAGTGGTGCGCATCCCTGTCCTCCCAGCAGCTCGGGAGGCTGAGGCAGGAGGATCGAAAGGTGGAGGCCAGCCTCAGCCACTCAGCAAGGCCCTGAGCAACTCAGTGAGACCCAGTCTCTCAATAAAATAGAAAAAGGGGCTGGGACAGGGCTCAGGGGTTAAGCGCCCCTGGGTTCAATCCCTGGTACCCCCAAAAAAGGACATTTCTCTGGTAACTATGATCCTATTTTACTATTGTCCCATCTAAATAAATTAATAATAGTCGCCTAATGTCATTACTTCTAACCCTAACCCTAACCCTCTCTGTGTGCTGAAGTTGCTCTTTGCTAATCAGCGAGATTCATTCATTTCCAATTGCATTTGGTACCCAGGATCGGTTTTTGTCTTTTTTATTTTCAAATTGATTTTCTATTCCAAACAGGCAAGCATTTATTTGGCTTAAGAGTCAGAAATAGATGAAAAAGATAACACAGAGTGAAGTTGGGCTCTGCCCACGGCCTCCAACTCCCCCTTTTTCATTGTGGTTGATCATTTTATTAATCATCTTTGAGGTTCTCCTCCAAGCATTTGTTTTTGCAAAAATAGATGTAATTTGTTTGTTTTTATATGTCATCTCTTTCTCTTTGTCCATCCACCCATCCACCCATCCATCCACCATCCATCCATCCATCCACCATCCATCCATCCATCCATCCATCCACCATCCATCCATCCATCCATCCATCCACCCATCCACCCATCCATCCATCCACCATCCATCCATCCACCCATCCATCCACCCACCCATCCATCCATCCATCCATCCATCCACCATCCACCCATCCATCCACCCATCCACCCATCCATCCACCCATCCATCCACCCATCCACCCATCCATCCACCCATCCATCCACCCATCCACCCATCCACCATCCACCATCCACCATCCACCCATCCACCCACCCTCTTCCCCCTCCTGCCGTCTCAGCCCTAGCTCCCCTCCCAGCCCCTGGTGCTGGTTCCCCCTCAGTGGGTCCTGCCATGTCTCTGCGCTGTGACAGGCCGCCCAGCCCTCTCCCTCCCGCGTGGTGGCTGTGTGGGTGAGCCGAGGTCTATTTAAGCAGCGTCTCCTGTCGCTGGAGAAACACTTGGGTTCTTTCCAGCCTCTTGTTGAGTAAACATTTGGCTACACTGAATAACCTGGGAACATCTCACTTCCTATTCGTGATGCTGTGTCTTCGGGGTCAATGCCTAGACACACGGCTGCCTGCTGGAAGTGGTGGAAGTGGAAATGCACCTGTGACTTGCTATCCATTCCCCAGTCGCCCTCCACTGGGACGTGCTGCCTTAGACCCCCTCCCTGAGGCTTGGGAAAGGGTCCGTCTCTCTCAGATGGACCACGACAGCCTGTTCTTAGACATTTGGGTTTTTGCCCATATAATAAGAGGTTGACCAGCTCAGATTTTAAGAGCCATTATTTCCTTTTAGGTAAGCTGAGTGTTCACGTCCTTGGTCATTTTTTTTTTTCCTCTCCAGGTTTTGCATTTCTTGTTGATATTTCAGAGCTCTTTATATATGACTTGGTCATTTGTCTTTTGACTTTGTTTAGGTTGCATTTAACCACGCACAAGACTTTTATTGATTGATTTGGGTGCCAGGGATTGAACTCAGAGGCTCTTTTCCCTTGAGCCCCGTCCCCAGCCCTTTTTATATTTTATTTAGAGACAGGGTCCTGCTGAGTGGTTGAGGCTGGCCTCCAACTTGCAATCCTCCTGCCTTGGCGTCTAGAGCTGCTGGGACGACAGGTGTGTGCCACTGTGCCCGGCTGCCTTTTAATCCCTCTGCCTCTCTAAAAAGCATACTCTAAGCCAGATGCTCAGGAGGCTGAGGCAGGAGGATGGCAAGTTGGAGGCCAGCCTCAGCAACTTGGCGAGGCCCTAAGCAACTCAGCAAGACCCTGTCTCTACATAAAAAGCAAAAAAGGGGCTGGGGATGGGGCTCAGGGGTTAAGCACCCCGGTACCAAAAATAAAAAATAAATCACACAGAATATCTCCACCTTGCAAACATCTTCCCACGTGCAGAGAGAATGTCCCCCAGGAAGCCTCCTGAGAGGCCATGATCCTGTTTAGGCTGGAATAAGAAGACCCTGGGAATCCTCTGACCTTTCTTTTCTCAGAAAACCTGTTCTACTTAGTATTCCTTTTCTTACAGGGAACAAAAAGAAAAAAAAAAAGTCTTCAGTAAGGAAAAGAGACTAAGCCTTAGAAAAGCCAGAAAAATGACACCTGAGATTTGTGTAGGAGTCTGTGATTTATCAAGCACAATCCCCACAGGATTTCATGTGATCTTCTTGGAGTTTGTAAGTTAAGCATTTCTTTTACCACGGAGCCCCATTCCCAGCCCTGTTTGGCATTTTATTTAGAGACAGGGTCTCGCTGAGTTGCTCAGGGCCTCTCTAAGTGGCTGAGGCTGGCCTCCCACTCACGATCCTCCTGCCTCAGCCTCCCGAGTTCCTGGGATCACAGGCGCGCACACTTTCTGGATTTTTTTAAGGGGACCTTCTCCTCTGGAGTCCAGGGCCAGGGTCACGGGAGACACCCAGGCGGAGCTGAGACTGTGCAGTGCTGACCTCTGTTTCCTGGGGACAGCTGAGGGTTAAGAGCACAGGCTGCTTCTCCTCCACAGTGTGGATCTCGGCCCTGCGTTTCTGGTCAACCCACGGGAGGTTGGCGAGCGTCAGGAGGGAGGAATCTTGCAGACTAGGTGGCTGAGCCAAGGAGACAGCTGGTCACTGTGGAGGTTCTGGCCTTGGGAACCACATGACAGACCCAGGAGGAGTCAGATGTAGGAGTCTTGGTCCTTTCAGACCCGAAGCAAGAATAAAGCCCCTTGTCAAGGAGCATCAGGGTGGAATGGATTCTTGGGGAGCAGGAACACGACTTAGTCCCCTCTCCTATTTTTTTTTCAAGGTATTGAGGATGGAACCCAGGGGTGCTTAACTCCGGAGCCCCCTCCCCAGCCCTTTTTCTATTTTATTTAAAGACAGGGTCTCACTGAGTTGCTCAGGGCCTCGCTAAGTGGCTGAGGCTGGCCTCCACCTTGCGATCCTCCTGCCTCAGCCTCCCCAGCCATTGAGACTGACAGGCGTGCGCCACCACACCTGGCTCTATAGTTTTCATATTTCAGAAGAGAAAGGTTCAGCAAGTCTGGGAGGTGGATCTTAGGATTCTGGTGATTTCGACAAAGGCCAAAGGTCGGCGTTTTCTGTCTCAAGAGAGTAGAAGGACCAGGTTGTGCCGCAAACACAGACACAGGAAGTGGTTTCTGCCCGGGTGTGTGTGTGTGGGGGGATTGGTTCCAACTTCCCTCCAATCAAGGGGACAGATTTGTACATTTCTACCCAGTCCGGGCCTGGTCAGGGTGCAGGGCCCCCTCCCCTTTCCCCGTGCTGTTTTCGTGAAGGGAGAAGATGAGCAAGCGCTATTGCACATTCAGCTAGGGACATTATAATGTGGCAGAAGAGGCTTGCTTATGAAGCGCTTGTGGTATACCTGCAATCCAGGGGAAGGCAGGAAGTGCGTGCACAGAGTGCTGGTAGGAGACGGAGTTCTTCTGCGCAGAGCAGGGCACGTAGTACCTGCTCACTAAACTCTCCGTGGGGGGGGGTGGGCGTTGGGAGCTGAGAAGGACAGGAGGCCAAAGAGTGTCCTTGGGCACAAGCCATCTGCCAGGATCAGAGGCACCCTGCAGCCTGAGCCCTGAGCCCCCCGCCAGCCTGCCTGCCAAGAGGCCACAGACGGGCCATCTGTCCCTCTCTGTCCCCTGCTGGGCTTGCTGCTCAATCTTCTGGTGGCCGCCCATCCAGCCCTGTGCGGGCAAGTGCGTCCGAAGATGCCAAGCTGGTATTGGACCTGGCGTCCACCAGCGGGGCACAGAGTCCCATGGAGGCCACTGGACCCGGGATTGAACCCAGGGGGTGCTTAACCCGTCCTCCCAGCAGCTGGGGAGGCTGAGGCAGGAGGATCGCAAGGTGGAGGCCAGCCTCAGCAAAAGCGAGG